GTACCAATTGTAATTTATCCACATTCTTCTTGGCAGTATTAGACCAGACAGAGGAACAATAAAATAACCTACTGAAAACTAGTGCATTAATTACAAGTTTAAGTGTTTTTTTGTCGAATACGTGTTTAACTCTATTTATTTGACAAAGACGAGATACGCAAGAAGACACTGTTTTTGAAACATGTTTGTCATAGGACAACTGAGAATCCACGTAGACTCCAAGATCACGCACAGAGTCACATGGAGTCAACTCCTTGCCAAGGAGCGATTAATCATCATTAATATGTTAAGCTACACTGTTGTTCATTCACCAATTAATCAGAAAGAAGCTTATAAACTGATTTACTCGCTACTTCTTTGTAGAGATTTTTCTTCTCAATTTTCGCATTCAAATGGACGGTGAAAAAGAAAAAAAAACATTCCGCTCCACAAAACAACAAACAAAAAACGGTGGAACCAGAGTTTAACCACGTTAATATTTGAGCTTAATATTTAACTACAGAACTAAAGTGATTCATCAAACTCCGCTGCACGCGTTCCACACTTACCGTTGAGCTCACTGCTACTTTCATCCGATATTAAATTTGGAAGTTCAAGCTGCCATTTCCCATCCGTCACAATTGCAAAATTTTCGCATTTGCCCGCAGGCGATTTCGCCAGGCGAAATAACTTTAACGAAAATCCGCCAATTCCATATTGATGTGCCTGCTCCTTTAGTCCTTAGTTCAGATACTCCTCTATGAGCTTCTTTGTCTACTGGGACCCTGCTTCGATGACGTTCGATGGCGATTTCTTCACCTTTTCGAAAAAAACTCACGATGACTTTAGCAATCCCAGTCATGACCCAACCGCATGAACAAACAACGAGCAATAAAAAGACAACAGCAGGGCGTCTCGTCAGCCCGATTACGAGCCGCTGTTCTAGAAATGAGCCCACGCTGCTCACCGAAAAGAAGGATCCCGTGGATTTAAAGTAATTTGAAGACAAGAAATTCTATAATTCGGCTAAATTTGGAATTAATGTGGTTACGTCGGGTGAAGAAGGATTTTCTGCGCTAGAAATCATCAAAATGCTGTTCTTTCTGAATACAAACATCCCTATCACGTCTGACCATGTCGGTTGTCGGTTAGAATTTATTTGTCGCTAGTCGGTAATTTTTTCCCCGTTTCGTCGGTAGTCAGTAATTTTTTACGCCCTTTGTCTCTAGTCGGTTAACCCCATTCACACCCTCTTCAAGTATAAACAGAATGTTTATTCTTAAAACAGTGTTCAAAGCAGATTTCTTACACGTGGTAATACTGTACTAGAGGACCTTTGGATCTCAAACTGCCTCAATCCGAGCCCGAAGAGCCCCAACGATAAGCTCACAACATTTTTATGACGCTTCTAACCTGGAATTGATGATTCTATGTTGAGAAATATTAGGCATTGAGTATTATCGAAAACCAAGTTTCAATAACTTTCCGCTCGCTAATTAAGAACTTGGTGCTTATCACCTGGCTTATAAGCCACAAACGAACATTTAGGATTGCAGATTACTTCATCTTAACTAAATGACGAAATTCCGCTCTTAAAAGTTCCTTTTGTAATGGTGGGAGCTCGCTTACGCACTTCCTCAGTTGTATGTCCGACTTCAGGTGATTTTTTTTGTTATATAATTGAGCAAGAAATAGCTAAGTGGCTCACAGAATTAGCTCGTTCTTGTATTTTTGATCATTTCGATATTATCAATGAGGCATTCTTGTGGATATAACCACAAAAGATAGAATGAGCAAAATGCGTTAATGCTTTTCAAACCCGTGATTGGAATGTCTAAGAACTTCGTATTCATCACAGGAAATCTCACTTGACATCAAGTTTAAATAAGAACCCAAGCAACCAGAGAAAAGATCACCTTCGCATTATTCACGGATAGAACGTCCACGGTTCTTTTTCGAGCAAATTTGTCTGTCCTTTTGTAATAGGGTAGGCCTGTGAAACGGCACTTTGCGTTTGGATTTGATCAAACGCACAGGTCTATAGTATATTGTTGAAAAATTAATATAGATTATGACAGGTAGATGAAATCATCACGGCATATCATGCCCACTGTGGAGTGTGTTCAAAACAGAACGCTACATAGCAACGAATATTTGAGGTCAAAGTCTATTCGGTATCAGATTACTAGTGAGTCCCAATTTCTCGTATCCTATCTGATCTGAAGCGATCAAAGTCCCAATTCCTAGTATGGTCCAGGCCAGTGGGAAAAACCAGGAAGAGAGAACAAACTAGCTCTAGGGTAGAGCGTAAAAAAAATAAATATTTTTTCAATAACGCCCCTTGAGCGACTCGCTTTGCAGCTAAATCCTTCTTTTTTTGGCTGTTCATCTTTATTGACATTTTTCATTGTTACTTCTGTTGTACTGCAACGGAACTCGGGATTTTCCTTTGCAGGTTGAGAGATCAAATTGAGCTACGAAGACGACAACCGTTGCATTTACAATACTTCCAAAGTGAAGCAGCGTTCTAATTTCAACTTTTTTTTTAAACACATTTGGCACATCTGTAGGTGCTGTTAGCAAAAAAATCATTAGCATAAATCAAAACTATGTCTTCCTGTTGAGACTGTTTAAATAACAACCACGCTAGCTGGCCATCATACCATTCATGACGTTACTTCACATCCTTGCCTTTCTGCGCTCATACATCAAACTGTACTCCCACCTTCTCTTTTCCTCGAGACATTGTTATCATTGGCTTACAAATGATCAGTTCTTCCGAATCAAGCTCTATTTCACTATCGTTGTCCTCCGAACCACTCTCGTACCCCTCCAGAGAGGGAATCTAAGAGACTGAAGCAGAAGCCTCCAAATCGTTTTCGTACCCCTCCACACAGAGTGAATGTGAGAGATTAAGGCAGTAGCCGATTGCTCGCAATGGTCATTTGGAAACTTTACCCTTGCAACAGCATCAGGTTTCTGTTCCGCGTACACACTGCCGGTGGTAAACCCCTAACTTATCTTTCGAAGTCTCACTCCTCACTAATCTTTGCCTCACGGGACGGTAATTATCCATGAGATGGAATATGAGAAAAATGAGATACCGAGAGTAGATCCTCTATCTGTGTCGTAAGTAAAGCTTGCCAATCAACGTTATCTTTGTAGTCAATGTTAATAATTGCTATCTTTCTTATAAGGCTGTTGACACCATTCTTCCAAAGCTCGATAAAATATGATATCTTTTGAGAGACAGATCCTTCAGGGCCATTCATGGTTGAGTCTTTCTTGAGTTGGTTTGTTTCTTCTTCTTTCCCAATAATGGATTTGATGTATCCATGTACCTTCTTCACATTCTGATTGAACTGCTCTAGTGGAATTGGCTGAGAGGTTGCACCTTTACGTATTATACCAAAAACTGTCATAGTGGATGCCCATGTGGTTTAGAAAATTCCTTGTTCCTGACAAACAAGTCATCAAGTTTATTTTCCCTAACGCTGCATTTGTAGTGAAAAGCATGTCTGAAACACTCACAAATGCCATGTACTTGAATGAAACTGAAATCTGTTTCTCTTCCATCCCGCACTCCCTTTCGTCCATCTTCCGCAAGAGTATCGACTTCCTAGGTCGATGGATTTTAAACCTTTTTTTGCCAAGTCACGATGTCTGTGAAGACGAGTTTGTCGATGAGTTTTGCTACCTTCTTTGCTACCTTCCTTACAGTTTTCAGCCATATTTTAAAGTACAGTCTCAATCTCTTGGTTTCCATGCTAAAATCTGTACAGACCACCATTACGCTGTGCTTCGTTTGGGTTGTTCAAGGTAGTTATCTTCAAGAGACAGTCAACAGCTTCGTTATGTAATTGCACATCTTGTATCAAAATGGATCTGAAAAGTGTCATCGCAATCTGATTTGTTAAGATTTCCACACAGCCCCACACAGTTCTTGGATAAAGAAGAGAATGGCGATAACAGTAGATTGCCTTCGGGACTACGGCTTAGTTTCACGAAAATGTGGAGCTGAATCCTCCCTTCAATTGAAACGCTACTCATGAGGGTCTATCTTTTTTCCCTGAACTAATCTTTTTATAATTTTATCGGCCATTCGGCGTGAATTGGTCATCTACTTATTTTACGAGTATCCAGTTAGTTTGAATGTACCGCCTAGTAAAGAATTTCTGTCTTCAGCAAGTTTCTACTTGCTATAGGAGGATCGACTTAAATGATTCACAATTTGTACGCCTGCCTTTGAAATTGTTACGAATACTTCTCAGCGTTTCCGAGTGACGGACATGTAAGTATAGCATTACTTGTAGAGAACTAATTCTAAATTGTCCGGCTTCACTTCATAAACTGCGCTGGACGGCAACTTGCAAGTGGAATTCACAATTATTCTTATCGTGTCTCATATTGTATAAAACCATATGGTGCGCAGGTTAGTCTCGACATATAAAAGCTTCGACCAATACACGTGAATAGCTTCCATCAGAGGAAATATACTTTCCAATGGAAAACTTGAATTCTACTGGAAATATACTTCCAGAAGTGCTACGACGGAACTCAATTAATTGATGATACGTACTTCCTGACACTTTCTTTCGCAGTCTCATGGATTCCAATAGAAACGAATAAAAGGTAATTAATTCTATCGGAGTTATCGATTCTCTAATAGATTCCTTAGTTCTTTGTTTGTATGCATCTGACTACCTTGGTATTTGCATTCCGGTGGTAGCCAGTTTCCTTGAAAACTGAATGGCTTCCTCTCTTCCTTTCCGGAGCCTTTTTGCCAAGGAAATGGACCTAAAAGTAGCTCTATTTCGGAATTCTTTCGTAGATGTACACAATATGCACCATGTCATGTTTTAGCTAAAGTGACAAAAAGGGTTTAAAAAGGGGGGGGGAGGTCTCAGGCCCCCCAGAACCCCCATACGATAACCTATCACGCTAGCCCGCTCTAAGAAACAAGATGCTTTAATTTCCAAAATTTTTACTAGAAGATAACATCAATAAATTTTTCTAAATAAAGCACACGATTTTAATAGCTAAACTGGAGGGTGACGGGGATTTTTTTTTTAACGATTTGTGCGATTTATAGTAAGAAATATTATACTATTATATTATATTATTATACCAAATTAAAAAAATTGCATGTTCTAAAACAATTTTGACGGCTTCTTGTTTGCCTTAAGAAAATTTTTGCGCTCAAAAAGTGAAGCAAGCAATCGCGTCTATCTAAATAAATATTGCGTTATCTAATTTCAAAGTTGTTTAAGAGACCTATCATTTGTGCTGAACAAATCATCTTCCAAGTCTGATCATGGAGGCGCCTTCCACTAGCCACTGAGAACGGTCAGACTATCAAAATTCCACTAGCCCGTTCCAGGCGTACAGTCAGTTCGTGGTAAATGGTGTTACAATAGCGGTGTGAGAGAAGCGGCTGAGCGTAAAAACGAGGGAGGCTTGGATAGAGTCGCGTAAGTTCATCACGCGCCCCAACCCAAGCCCGCTCCCTTCTTTTGCTCCACTGCTGCTATCATGCCGTTCGTTTATTTCGCTACGTTTCACTGCACGCCTGGAACAGACTAAAATTCCATTGAAAAGGTGGATGAAATTCAGAAATGAACTGAAGTTTAGAAATTGACTGAAGTTCAGGATTTAAATATTCACGGCGGCAAGTTCTGATTTATAACGAAAGTAATTCTTGGAAGGGACGAGTCTGACAAATCAGGTCCGATTAGTAGTAAGTATTCAAAAATTGCTACTCGTCATCATTAGCTCTTAGGCGACCCAGGAAACTACTGACTATTAAAATTTCGGCTTCATGGTCACGAAGTCAAAGTCATAGCAATCAGGCTGAAAGAGAAACAAAGTGAAGAAAAAATCACGTGGTATTCATTCTCAATGCTTTTATAAGTTTACCCCATTCTCTATAGAAATAAAGTAGTGTGAGCAATTTCTGGCCAAAATACGTAAAATGTTGCGTTAAATTGAAATTGTACTCACCAAACCAACATGCTTGTTTGGAAAAGAGAAATGACTCCAACAAAAGACAGGTAAGCCCTGAAAAAAGAAAAATAAGTGGAATATCGTTCATTACTTTACATGTAAGAGATAAGATTATTTTAAGCGACATACGCGAAAGCAAGCTAAGAAAACAGATCGAATGCGCGTGGAGTATGGAATCTGCAGAGGAGGAATTAAACCCCAAGTGCGTACCTAAAGTTTACTACGACTTATACACGGTTTTGGTCAGCATTTTGTGATATTTAAATGCCTTCCAGTGGTCACATGGCATGCTACACGTCCCTCGCTGACTGGTCACAAGCTTGTCGTGCCACAGGAATACTGCAGAAAACTGCTACTTCTTAAACCACACACAACTATTAGCAGGGAGGCTGTTTCAGAGGGTAACAAAGCAGCTAGTCTTCTAAGGGTTTTAAGATTACCTGGTGAGTTGGACCATTGATAGCTTCCGACATTAACGACTTTGCCATCTCATAATCTGTCACCTGAAGACAAAAACAGAAAACGATTTTAGGTGCCATTTCCAAAAAAGATTTCAAAACAGGAGAGAAATAACTCCGGGTTCCATAAGTGAAACGAAGTATAGCTCTATCAACAAAAGTATCTATCATAAAGTTTGAATGTCGAAGGAAGCCCGGGATAATAATGGTTTGCTTCCCTTTAATCCAAACTTGGTAGCGGCAAAAAATTCGCGTTGCCCGGATCACCAGTCAGATCAAAAGTACTAACAATCGTTATTTGGTCACTTGTGGTTTCGAGTTAAATCATTTATTGAATTTCACGTACAATTTCTAGGAAAAAAGGACCAAAACTATCGACAGAACTGAAAACTAGACTAAAACCAAATCTTTCCCCGTGCTTTTTCCGTCTCAAAACTAGATCACGTGTTTTAAGCAAAATTACAATTTATGTATCATGCATTCAAACGTTCTAAAAATTCACTGTCCTTCAGACCAACTTGCGTTTTCTTGCGCTTCAGTAAATTTTCTTTAATTTATTCTGAATCTTCTTTGGCTCCTGGTGATGTTAGCCTTTGCTCTGACTGTCCATTGCGATAACCTCAGTTTTACTTTACATACACTCCATCGAAACTCACTCTACCCATATGGGGAGTTATTATAAGCCAACGGCAGAACTCTACCTTGGTATCATAGCAACCATTTGGGCTTCTGTCTGATGGAATAAGCAGATCCCCTCGGGAGCAAATGGAGTTGTAGGGATTATTGTCTGAGTACGGGTCTGTAGGATAATCTGAATAAGAAGGAAGAGTTTCTTATCACGAGGGGATAAAAAAGAAACTACATATAACCCTAACAGAGTAGCGTTTCTGTGTTCATCGGGAAGAACACAAAAGATTAAAAAAACTTCATCCACCTTTTTAGAGATTAATAATGTACCTGAAGAAATTACACGCTTCTGATTGGCTGAAAACGAGTGCATTCTCATGTAACACAGGTGCAAAGTTGTAACACGTGCGCAAATTACGAATAGCACGTGCAGGCTTTCAAAATTTCGTCTGTCTTTACTCTGTGATGTTGTTTTATGTACATTATTTACCAGTAATAAAATGATTTCTCTTGCAATTTGGTGTAATAAGCACTTGTAAATTTTTCAAAGACTACAGATTGCCCTTGCCCTGCGGACTCGTGCAATTTTGTTGTCTACGGAAATATTTACCTAGTATGTTATCAGCTATACTAAGTTACTAAGGAAACTGTAGTGCTGCGTCAAATGTAAATTACTTTGCTATCATGCTAACTAGATACTGGTCTCTGTCACGACATGGTCAAGTTCAGCCACACTCTAAATCAAAGGCTTGGCAATTAAGTACACAACTATAAAATGGCCTCTTGACCTTCATCCACCTTAGCTGGGAAAGAGGCAAGCTTGTGAGCACGAAAACAATAACGTAATCAATGATTTAAGCACAATCGTACCGTTGTAACGTAGGATGTGTTTCATCGATGTCAAATTCTTAACCTGTAAAGTCAGAAAATTCATCTGTTACAAAATGGTCGAGCAGCATTATGAATCAGAATTCCTTGTCACTAGACCAGCGATAATATATCATTTAAAGACAGATCAATGATCTAAATGCAGTAAGTTACCAGTCCTTGGTCACGACGGAATATCTCAGCCCTTGGAGCCAGCTGGTATGATCGAGACGGGCCGTGTTTCTTCACAAATTCAGGGTAACCACTCAGATTATAGATCTAATGAGATAACAAAGCACCTGATTAAAAACAATTAAACCGTCAAGTTTATTAAGATAGGCTAAGAACTATCGTCAAAGGAAAACAATTTATGTTCACTGAAGATATCAGAAAAGATGTATCTCGTGTATACACCAGATGTGATATCTTCATGTAGTTTACGTATTGTATTCAAAGCAGTCCCCACACGTTAAGTAAATCCTGGTTAGCATACAGCAAAAGCAGCAATGGTAAATGTGCACCCCAACATAGGTGGCTTAAAAAAACGGTGCCCCCCTCCTCCTCCCTTCTCCCTTCCACCCTTGAAGGGACACTTAAGAAAATCACTTGGACTTGTGTCACGATCAGGGATGGGGAGAGGCAGGGGTAGATGTAATAACCAGCTGTGAGCTTGTGAACACTCTAGCAGCCACTGCCTTGGCATTAAACAAATTCTCTCAACTGTAAACGGCAAAGTGAATTTTAATCAGTTATAAGAGCGCATTTTTGTTGGACTCACCTCTTCATAAAAGGGCACATTGTAAGATGGCCAATAACCTGCTCTGAGGATCTCAGTTTGATCTCCGCTGACCACCAACCTGAAAGACAGATCATCACATATTGGAAACATTGAAAAAATGTAGGCTTCAGTTCATCACAAATAGCTGTCTTGGGCTTTACTGTCTCGATTCTCCATAAAAATGAAATTACATTGCTTTGTCTTCAGTCCAACTTGAAAGCTATTAGGCCACCAGACATACCACACAGATTGATCCTCAAAATTACACAAACTCAGGAGTCCATTACCCGGAGCCTCCATACCAATTGTACCCTTGAGTCAACCCTGTCCCGTATCTTTTTATTTTTAGAACTGAGAAAACACGGAAAACAGGAAAACACGCTGACGTTCGCATAACACCCGAAAAAAAATGGTAAACTTTCCGCACTTTTTGCCATTATTGAAATACTTTCGTGCAGCCTGCAAGTGACGTAAGCAATAGAGGCCCACAGCTCTCTTATGATTGGCTATTATTTAAACACCTGCAAAAAAACCCTGTAGGAGGTGCTTCTAAAAATAAAAAGATACAGGACAGGGTTGACTCAGAGGGTTAGTATGGAAGATGGAAGCTCCAGATAATGAGCTCCTGACAAACTTTAACACATATCCCTTTTTTGCCTAGGTGAAATTAACTGCTGAGTATTTTTTCACGCAATAAATGAAAGACAGTCAGTCACAGAGCCAAGAAAAACTATCTTAGAAACCTACATTCAATATGTAACTGAACGTAGAGGAGTCAATGGCAGTGTTGCTTGTGGCAACTTTGTGAATGTGATTTTCACAACCTACCCTGGAATCTGTTCCACAACCCACAGAGCTCCGCTTAGCAAACTTTTCTTTAACTCAACTCGTTTCAGATCCAGGATCATGTACTGGTTGTTGTAAGTACCTGTGAGACATAAAAAAAGGACAAGTGTTGAGGAGGGTCCATTCAACTCATAAAGGGATGTTACCTGTGGCACATCCCTTCCTTCTGATCATCATGCCATTAGGCACCCAGGCACATGGCACTTAAAACACAAAATTCTCAGGATTTACCCAAAGGAGTTGTATGAAAAAAAGACTAGTTTTTCATCTTGCCTCCCCATTTGTGACAAGACAAAAGGCATCTTCCTTAATTTCATTACTGAGCTTAAAACTTTACCATCTTTCTTATGCTATTTAATCACTAAACACTTTCAACATCATTGATCCTGGCTGCATGCAGGATGCATGTCATATAATTATAAACTAAACTGTGTTGTGTTCTTGGGCAAAACACTCAGACTCAGTAGTAGGCTCTTCGGCTATGTGGTAGGTTCATAGGCTCCATACTAGGCTCCTAGGCTCAGTAGTAGGCTCCTAAGCTTAGGGTAAGCTCTTAGGCTTCGTGCTCAGCCCCTAAGCTCAATACTGGGCTCATAGGTTTACCACTGAGCTCTTAGGCTCAGAGGTAAGCTCTTGGCCTCAGTGGTAGGCTCTTAGGCTCAGTAGTGGGCTCTTCGGCTATGTGGTAGGTTCATAGGCTCCATACTAGGCTCCTAGGCTCAGTAGTAGGCTCCTAGGCTCAGTAGTAGGCTCCTAGGCTCAGTAGTAGGCTCCTAGGCTCAGTAGTAGGCTCCTAAGCTTAGGGTAAGCTCTTAGACTTCGTGCTCAGCCCCTAAACTCAATACTGGGCTCATAGGCTTAACACTGAGCTCTTAGGTTCAGAGGTAAGCTCTTAGCCTCAGTGGTAGGCTCTTCGGCTCAGTAGTGGGCTCTTATCCTCAGTGGTGAGCTCTTAGCCTCAGTGGTAGGCTCTTAGGCTCAGTGGTAGGCTCTTAGCCTCAGTGGTAGGCTCTTAGCCTCAGTGGTAGGCTCTTCGGCTCAGTAGTGGGCTCTTATCCTCAGTGGTGAGCTCTTAGCCTCAGTGGTAGGATCATAGGCTTAGTGCAGAATGCAAAGGTCTGAGGTGTGATCCTCCTGAGGACTCTGATTCATTATTTTGTCCCATGCCATGAGTCAGCAACAAGACAAAGATAGTCAACCCTTTAACGCTGATTAAAATCTCATTACTAATTCTCATTACTGTCTACAATATACTTCTCATGATGTTACTTGGGAGAATTTGATATTACATCAACTAATAATCTCCCAAATGATATTTCTATTTATTCTCATTACTTTACTTTTGCTTGATCTTTGAACATGTGAAGTGTTAATTAACATCAATAGCATAATGCAGGAAAGAGTCTACATACCTGAGTTATACTGTTCATAAACCTCTGCCCATTCCTCACCATTGTGAGCCATCAAGTTAGCAAGGCGTACTCTATGCCAGGCTAGAAGGGATTCTGTTGACACGTACTTATACAGTGAAGTGTTGAAAACATTGTTTGTTGTCTGGACCATAACTAAGCCACTAAAAAGTCAGAAGACCAAAAAAAAAAGACACTGGCTGAATGTACAGTAGCAGTGCAGCTACCTGGAAATTCAGCGACAAACTTCCCCCTTCAGAGAAATAAATTTATGAATGTGAATTAAGTATACTTAATTGACTAATCCCCCAGTGGAGCTTTTCAGGGCCAATACAAACAAATGAGTAATAGAATGAATGAATAAACAAAGTCTTTAAAAATCCCAACTGGCCAGAGACAGACCAGTTGACTATATAAAAAGTGCAGCTAGGGAGTTGACCTTGAGGAAACCAAGAACAAATTCAGTGAGTAGCAGAGTGGAGGGCTTGAACTCAGGATCACAAGATTAAAAGCCCAGCACCCCTACCACTAGCCAACACTGTCTCCAAGTGTTGTGAAGAGTGTAATGTGGAAACAAGGTACAAATTGCAACATATTAGTTAACATGATGTATCCACTACTGATTGGAGTTGGCTTTCAACAGTTCCTCACTTTATCCCTTCATATATATTATGCATCTCAACCAAGAAAACAATTAAGGCTGACAAGTGAAAATGTATAAGCTATTTCTACTTTAGATTTGGAGGAACTTTTATCAAGCAAGAGAAATTAGTTGCAGCTGGTTCAGTGAACCCCCTGTTTGGGTATCATCAGCCTCTTCCTAGTCAGAGAAGGTCCCTTCAGCTATCGTTCAACTTTAATTAAAATCGAGCTAACCTGTCCATGATGTAAAAATCATCCAGTGATATAAGGTAGCCAGGATAGCTTGAAAAAGACATCCGTTTTGCACCTGAAAATTTCCATCACATTCCACAATAATTCTCTATTGACTTTGTAAAGGATAACAACTTACATGTCATGGTAATGTGAAGCCTTCAGCCTTGTGGTTTTTATTATGTTTTTATTATGCAGTGCTCAGTGGTGCAAGTAATACAATTTTAATAATTATAATAAAAAATGTTTAATTAAAAAGTTCTAGAACTTACTTGTGCTTGGATCTCTCAGATTGAAGTAGTAATGTTTGTAGATCCTCATTGTTGCACCATATGAGAACCAGCTACAAACCAAGTAAAAGAGTTTAAAAGCAAATTAAGTAGCCATAATACAGATAAGGTAATCAATGAGATGATTGGTAACCTTGAGAAATGTAAGTCAGAAAATAATTCAGGTAGGAAGCTAAAAGTAAGGAAGATAGAAATACTTCACCTTGAATGTCCTGCGAAGATATCTTCATAACCTGGAAGAACTTTTATAAGTGCAGAACAATGGCCCATTCTTCCTAACTAAAGTAAGATAAATGACTGTGAATATATAAATATCATACATGTATGTGTAGACTGTAGATTAATCAGTGAATATGAGTGTGATCTTCCCTCTATCAAATGAGCTAAGAAGCCAACTGGGAGGTGGTCTACACTACTTCTGAAAAGAAGTTGTTCTCACTATTGCATGTGCTTCCATCTTCCAGGTCCAGGGCCTAATATCACTACTGCTTAAGGTAAGTGCCCATATTTAAAGTAAGATAACATACCAAACTTATTTTAGAAAAATATTTTGCATTTTGGAAATTTTTTTGACTTGGTAAAAAATCTATTTGAAATTTTAAAGTGAATAAATTATACAACAAAGGAATATCACCTAAAATTTACTACAGATTTTTTCAAGTGTTAGTTTGGCATATTTCAAAGATGTCCCTTGATGTAAGTGTCCTGTTCTCAATCCAGTGTCCAGCATGTTAAACCTTTAACTCCCAAGATCTGATTGTTAATTCTCCCCCTCACTGTAGCCTGCAGTGCTAACGCTAAAAAGCTCGCAATTGTTTGTTTGACCGGCCATTTTTGATTTGCAGTTAGAGTGGACGGTGGGGGTAGGGGGCAGGGGAGGGGAGAAAAGACAGCGTAATCCTCACTCCCCTACCCCCATCCCTCTCCTTATTTTTGACCGTCGACCACCCCCTTGGTATAAATTTTTCCTCTTCCCAGCCTTCCGCTCCCATTAAAATCAAAGATGGCGGCCATAATATTCGTTATGAAATTACTCAGCACTGGAAAGCCTAAATTACGCCTGCTCTACAGGCCACTCTCACTGCTACACATTTCCTTGTAAATTAGTTATGAGAACTTAATGCTGGATCAAGATAGTGACTGTTACCTGATAAGTTTGATTATTCTCATTACCTGTTTGCTGAATAATGTATGGATATTATAGGGAGAAGTTACATTTTAATCACTACTGGGAGTCAAAGGGTTAAGCCAAGAGGTAACTGTGTCTCCTCCCATGAATGACCAAGACAGAATTTCTCCTCACAATATCAATATAATATCAAGCAGACAAGTAATGAGAATAAAGAAAAATATCAATAAGGGGATTATAATTTGATCCAATTCCAAATTCTCCAAACTAACATAATATGAATTGTTAAGGGGTTAACAGATAGATTCCCTGTTGCTGTGTGTCTGTTCAGTAACAGATCAGAGATGATGTCAAAATGTGATGAGAACAAAAATGTGCCACACATGCATGGCACAGTGGAGCATATCACTGATGTTCTCACCACATTTTTTACATCTTCTGCGATTTATAACATGACAATCTGGAATCTATTTGTTTTATAAAATAAAAAAGCAAACTACTGTTCATGGTGATGTCATCTATGCGTATTCCCTCCAATAGAGTTAGTGAGAACCAATCAAAATGCATGAACAATTCAGCTTATCATATTATACTCTTCCATGCAGCAATAGAGTTAGAGCTTGTGTTATGAATGCATGCAATCAAGATCAAAAGCACCTTGTACCTTAATCCTTTTATTCCCATATCAAATTTGTAATTCTCCTTACTGTCAACCATACAATTCTTATGATGTCAGTTCAGAGAATTTGGTATTGGATTGACAAATTATCCCCAAATTAAAATATTTCTTTATTCTCATCACTTATCTGGTTGACATTATATTGATATTGTAGGGAGAAATTCTGACTTGGTCACTCATGGGAGGTAAAGGGTTAAGAACAATAATAACTTAACACCCAAATTGAACTCTAAAGAATACCTTGGCTGTAATCTGCTCTTCTGTCATACTACTCCAGTCGGGTGGTCCATCAGGACTGATCACATCACCCAGAGTCAAGTAATCACCAATACCATTAAGAAGTTGGAAAGCAAACTTGCCCAGCACTTCCTAAAAAGATTGGGAAAAATTCATTAACACCAAATCATCTTAGGCAGCATGACTTCCTAAACTTGTATGTTATGCTGCAATCAGAATTTACCTTCTCCTTGGGTGGGTTCTCTGTATAACCAGCTATAAGCCCTATATTAAGAAAAATCAAAATAAGATAGAAAGCCTAAAATGGTCAGACTACCCAGTAATTAATACCTAGACAACCTAAGTTGAAGTAGATGTTGGTAATCTTTTAACAACTACACACACCCTACAACAGATTTACTCAATGAAATTAATACCATAAACATTACCTTAACAGAATGACCAAACTCTTATCAGAAGATTAAACAGATCAATAATAACTCACAAATGCTACTTCTAAAACAAATTTTATTTTTTTAAGCATCTTAGAAAGCAAAAGTTGTTGAATCTGTTTCAAGCTCTTTGCTTTACAAAAAATGGATCGTGGAGTGGAAATTTTTTTCAGTACCATTACAGCAAAGTGGAAAAAAGCAAACCAACAGGAAAAAGATGATTTGCCAGTCTGGGTCAGTCTACATGGGAATAAACTCTGCTCTTGTTCTTGGCAAATGATAAATTTGAGGAACACTGTAGAAATCATTCACACTGTTTTATAACTAAGTTAATCAGTGACATTGGACACTGCATTTTGTTCAACATATTCTTGTTTAACCAGTTTGATCACTATTTTTTTGTAATAATATCCTGATTTCATTTTAAGAGTTTCAATGTTTTTTGATTGAGCGAATTGATGTATGAGTGATTCCTACAAAATAAACAAGTTTAACGGAGTTTCGAATATGATTATTATAAACACTAAGCTCAGAGCCTTCTATAAATTAATGAATATTTGACTAATATTGTTCACCATCATATTGAGACACAATGTTTCCCATTTGTCTCCAAAGTGAGCTGTTCTTTGATTCACTTTTTATTTTGTTTCTCATCCATTCTTCCTACAAAAGAAATAAAATAGGAAAAATCTTTCACTTTTGCATCAACAAGTTATATGTCTTTGCGCAGAGCAAAATTCAGCAGAAATGATCGAAAAAAAAAATCAAGAGTGATTTGTTCTATTCCTAACTAGGTTGAATGATTGCTATGCTCTGTTTCTTTAAAGAAAAGGAGGGATGTCATGTACAAGAGGGCATGAGGAAGCAAAGAAATAAAAAAGAGCAAGGTCAACTTCTTTGTGTGCAGTTGTGTTATTCAATTGTTATTTACATAGCAAGGGAACACAACAATGATGGATGTCAGCCAGTGATAATGGAGGATGGAAGAGCAACATGGTTCACCAGAGGAGAGGACAGAAGATGTTTCCAAGCTCAAACAAAGTTTCTTTTCAACATCATAACTTCAAAGGTACCCTAAGGAAGACAACTAGCACACCACTAGGCAAAAAAAAAATACTGTTTGTCATTACCTGGGCATCAAACCATTCTTCAACCTTTTTCACAAACTGTTCTGATTTTTGGCCGAAGGCAATGTAATAATTGTTCTCATAATTTTCATTTATCCTCCTATAAGGAAACAAAATAAAGATGTTATTACCCTTTAAACCCTAAGAGTGATTAGAAACTAAATTCTTCTATCAGCATCAACCCTAAAACAAACATTGAGGTCATGAGAATAAAGGAAATGATCACCAACTAAAGAAGCTCTTGATTGTTAAGCAAATTCTCTTTGTCAGTACCATAGGAAATGTATAGAGAACAGTATGGAGAAAACGTATACTGATGTTAGGATGTAAAGGGTTATTAAACATTCTCTCTTACTCATCAAAAGTAAATTCAGTTGGGAAGTTAACAATATAATGAGTTCATCTTCAAGACATTTACCCTGCAGTCAAAGCTCCCTCAAGATACCCTGCCGCAAACATGATAGTCTGATCACTGTAACTTCCTGTTGAACCTGAAGCAATGTTAAGTTCACCCCATCTAAAATTTAAAAAAAAACCAGCAAATATAAGTTTACTAACCTAAGCCAGGAAATAGCTCACTTTCCACTATTTGTTAAATGGTGAAAAATTCCTCGCCAAGTTTCATATGCATCCCATTTGTCATGAACTCCAAGTATCATCAACTGATTGGGGGGGGGGGGGGTCCTAACTTAACATTGTATCAACATTTGAGAACATAGTAGTTTTTTGGTTGCAAAAGAGACTCAGTTTTCCTTTACAAAGGGGGAGGGGTGAGAGAGCAATCATCTAAGGACCCTCCTCCCCTTTCTCATCTATATGTATGCCTTTGATCACACTTGCTTCACATACCCTGTAGTAATCAAAGCATCATCATAGGTTCCATAGGCTACACCATTTTCTTTGTCAAGTACTCCAAACTCTATGTGGTACTTCCTGTGAAATTGTTATAGGAAATCCATTGTCAGTCTTTGTGTGACCATATTTATGTAGGCTGTTAATGATTTGTATAGTCTAGCTGCATGTTTAGTTTATTCCTGATAAACTGTTGTCACAAGCTCATGACTAGTTTAAATTTATGCTATATGTGAGTTGTGTCTGTAATTTATTTGTAACTATAAAATAATGATAAGGTTTGCAAAGTTTTCATGTTTTTGTGAGGAAGAAGGAAGGTGTTTTAGGATTCCTAACAATCACAGCATTCCCTCTTTTCCTTTCCCCAAAGAAAAGGAAGGAGGGCGCTAAATCTAATATTACAGTAATCCCATATTGACTAGAAAGTTGTTCAATATTCAACCATGATAACGTGATGTCGCACTTGGTCAAAGTTAGCAGAATTGAAGCATCCACCACTTTTCGTCCGAACATGAGATTCCTGTAATCATTTCTAAATAAATTATTTATTATCTATTACTTATAGTAAAATTTCCGCACAGCCCTATACCACATTATGCATTCAGTTCTTGGATAGAGGAAAACAATACATTGCCATTGGGAAAACAGATCTGTTTTACAATAGTATGGGGCGGTGCGGAAATTTTACTTTACTTGTCAGCAGAAACACTTTAGCGCTAAAAATTGTTTGAAGTTTGGTACCGAAATGAAATTTCATCGGAACCTTTCCTCGTTAATTATGAAGTGTTACATAACTCGTGATCACATATCAACGAGGAAACGAGAGGTGAGATCAGCCCAGTAGATCCTTAGCCCTTAGCCATCCAATCTTAAGCTTATAATAACCATTCCCAGCCCATAAAAATACAATCTCTAGGATAAACATCAAAATACGATACATTAATTTTTTTCTCTTTCGCTTTTTTAGCTGTAGATGTAGATCACAATATTATCCCAAAGATCAAATTGACTGCGACAAAAACGGAATAAAAATAGCAAACTCACCCATCTGTGTAATAAACCGTTCCATTCATGGAATAATCTCCTTTGCTAAAAGAAATCCTAGCGAAAAGTAAAAGGAAACTAACGAAAGCTTTCCACACAGCGACTTTCGCCATTTTTCAGTTCCTCACGAATGCGTGACTGATTGTCTCATGCGGCAATCACGAGGTCAGTCGTCACTTGGATCGGACCAGATCGGATTACGGACCAGATCACGGATCAGATCATGGATCGGCTCATGGATCGGATCATGTCACATAAAATTAGAAATTTTGTGTGACAAGCCAAAATAAAGTTTCCGTGACATAATGGGGCTAAACTTCAGAATACCCCGCAACTCTGGTCCGCCTCACTTACATGTGTCGGGAGGCTTTGAAGATCGAGGCATAACACAATAGACGCTATTCTTATTCAATGACATGTAAATGAGTTGCGGGGTATTCTGAAGTTGCTCCCATAATGGAGCGCAGGCCCCACTTGGAGAGTTTTTTTTTTGCCCAAAAACCCCATGTAGTCACTGTCTTTCACGGCTGTGTCGAGGAGTGTTGAGTAGTGCCACCATGAACAAAGGCAAGCAAGAGGTACGTATCATTCTACAATCAGGAGGAGGGCACTGGGATTTTCGGTCTTAATTTGGCTGTTTTAAATTCGGTTTCTGTGCAAAAAAAGTTCGGTTTTTCGGTTTGGCTGTTCATTTCGGTTTGCCTTGACAGAGACATACGGTTTTCTCGTACTCAGACCTCTGCGGTTTCTGAGCACAATAAAGAAACGGGGCATATTCCTATTTGGAGTAAGGTTAACATTATTGATCGTGACCCCCACTGATACACAAGTAGGGTCAAAGAGGCTATCCATATAAGACTTCATCCTAACAACATCAATAGGGATAGCGGAATCGACATTCCCGAAGCTTGGATACCCACGATCAAACAACACAACAGCCGATTTATGAGGACCTATGAGGGAACACCATCTAACAACCGGAATAATGATGAGGATCGAAATGCACCGATAGCAACGTACCAACGTGCTACAAATAGCGACACGTAAACAATCGATCTCATCGCCTGATGAAGATTTGCAGTGTTGCAGTCGAAGCGTCGCGATCAACATCAAAAGTGACTCTATCGTGAGACAAACGAACAAAGTTCATCTCCTAGAGTTATACCTATACCTATTAGTGGAAAAATCAGATTCTCTCAAATCGTACCTGGGGTTATGTGCATTTAAAATATTGCAAATACTTCTTGAGCATGGTCGCTGTTTAACTGTACACATTAGGATACAAATTTCCTGCAAATGTCTCTTCATCACGGTTAGCAGCTTGGCCCTGAATAATTAGCTTTAATTTATTCATGGTGAATCATCTTGTGGAAAACGGTACTCATGAACATGTGGGGTGGGGCAGGTGTGAATACAAATCTTCTGCAACACTACCTGTAAGCGCCATTATACAACCTTTATTTTAGTTCAATGCTATGAAAATTGTGCTATATCAGTAGCCACTAGAGGTCTCAGGCTGCCTATTTTTTTTAAATACCCCTATTCTGCCAAACTGTATCAAGCGGTCATTCACTGTGGGTGACACGCTTAATACAGGTTCAACTAGCAACTGTACACGAAAGGTGTTTTGTGGGTAAATTAAACAAAACCTATCTTTCTGTATTTCTTACCGAGCTCAAAACTTACCATCTTTCGTATTATATCCACAAAACACGACGCTATTGACATTGCTGACCTAGCAGTATGCAGGACGCGTGTCAAATATGAACTTCGGATGGGCCCGCTCACCACTGTCTCTGTAGCTCAGTGGTCGACTGGTCCGAACGCGGAATTAGACGAAAGGTTCAATTCCTCATGGGGACTCCTTTGTCCTTACTTTGTCCCACGTTCGTGACAAGACGAAAAAACATCTTCCTATATTTCCCTACCGAGCTCAAAACTTACCATCTTCCATATTCTATTTATTAACCCTTTAATCCCTGAGTGACCAGCATTCAATTTCTCTTTTCAATGTCACCCATGAATCAAACATCAAAGTCATGACAATAAAGGGAATGATAATTAACTGAAGAACCTCTAGATTGTTCAACGAATTCTCTTTGCAAGCACATTAGGAAATGTATAGAGATCAGTATGGAGAATATGCATACTGATGTTAGGGTGTAAAGGGTTAAACAAAACCCATTTGCAGTTTGCTTACGCAAGTGTGAAAGAGGATAAAACTTAACCAGAGTACAAGTCCCGTTCGGCCAGAACCAGTAGTGTCAGTTCCCATCAGAACCAGCCTGCTTCATACATGGACAATACAGTCTATCAACCGGTTTAAAAGAGAGGTCGTATTCCATCTTAAGGAAAAAATAAAAGGGACCGACGAAACTACGCCTATCACCTCCAAAGTGATTTAACCAACCATTTAGGCGCTGCGAAGACAAACTTGAGTCGTGCGCGTGTCCCGCAAGAGAAGCGAGCTCCTCACCCTTCAACACTCCTGCCCTTGGCAGAAAGTTAATGAACGATGATGTTAGGTGAAAACATGGGATATTCCTCTGGAAGTTTGCCTATGCGGCTTTCATCGATCCTTTCTTTTTGCTGTGTTAGCAGGTTTCCAAAACATTACAGCACCAACAAAAACACATACGAGAAGCATTTTTACAAACGTGCTACTAACACCAACTGTAAAAATTTTGTTCAAGGCTAAAAATACACTTCATTCTCCACGTTTTGTGAGTGAATTTAATGTTAACGCTTAGAAATTAAATTACAGATAATTTATTACCATGGTTATCTACTTCTCGCAAAGAATCCTTTTCGGTGAACGACGGAAAGGTCGAAGGTCTTCGAAAGTTTCCCGAGTCTAAGCCGATCTATCACTTCGCCGTTACCGAGCTCCTCTCGCAATCTTCGAACATTTAAAATATTTGTCGCTCTAATAAAGGTATTCAGTGCAACGAAGATTGATTCCAATGTAAAAGTCTTACTTTGAACTCTCGGGGCCAGTGAATAAAAATATGTAGAGCACTTTCACACTCTCTATTTTAGCTAAACTAAAAAATTATAGCTTCAGTGTTTTCTTAAATTTGACCATAAATATTCAAATGAAGTGCGAAAAGGTGATAGTGGTTACTGTGGAAACTAAATGCTACTAAAACACGCTACATAAATACGTGGGATGCCTGTGACTGACCGCGTTCAACATTCGCTTGAGTGTCGTCGTAGTCAGTTGCCTTACTGGCTGGGTTCCCTACTTGGATGGGTTAACTCTTCTTCTTCTCGATTTCATTCCTGTACTTTGAAGAGTCGGCATTAAATTTATTATTTTCTACGTAAAACCAGAGTAACCGTACTTATCAACATCAAATTGCACTCGAAAATACTCAACAGGACGCAAATGGACAGAAATTACGTTCATAAACTGTGCTTTGGAAAAATTTGTTGGAAAACTTTTCCAGGCAACCACAGACTCAAACAAACGTAGTTAGTTGATTTGATAGTATCGAACATTTTACCAAGCAGAGACAACGAATTCCTGTACAATTATTACAAGGCTCATCGCTGTTTCTTCCTGCCTCGTGTTTCCTTATCATACAAGTTTAAATAAGTCCTAATTCTTCAGTAATCAATTCTAAAACAATATTGCGCGATACGACAGCAAACAAATGGTGTGTTTGACATTTATAGATTGAAAGAGAAAAGGTGTGTCAAATTTCCATATCTATGAAACCAAAATGGAAGGCGATCGACATCAAGTTCCCTTGCTTGCTTTAAATGGGATGTCTACAATAACCGAAGGAAATTAGGGTAACGCAAAGCCTCACATGAGCTTCATCACGTTACTAACCCCCCCATCCATGGACAATGAAAATGTTTCTTTTGAGACACATTACTTAGCACGTAAGTTGTCCTAAATGATTGCAATGTTTTTTCTACAATAAGATCAAGGAAAAGTAACTAGAATATTTCTATGAGATTCGCTTAATAGACAGCAATTATCCTGCTACTTGTGAATGCCGTGCGATATTTAATTGGGAAAGAAGCTACGCCACAATAAAAAAATCTCAAAAATTGGCTTATTCATAACTAAAAATGGCGTTATTTGCAATCCGTGTCAACCTTCTCCATCGTAAGCCACCCTTATTCCTTCTTGGTATAATATCGCTTCCTTTGCGTTTTTTCAAACCTACAGAGCTAATATTTCATAGCCTTCTGAAATCTGAAGGTGGGTTTTGCACGGCGCAAAAACTAAACACAGTGACGTAGCTTCTTTAGTTTACTGCTCCTCCAACTACTTGATTTGTATTGACGGTGGAATAGCGGTGAAGACAAGAGGTTCAATTCTATGATCATTGAATTTCATGTGATTGCATAACAGCATGTCTTATGTGTCGAGTTTCATGTTTACTGGAAGTCGCCGACGAGTGCGTCTTTTCCAGGCTCCAGGTGAACAGACTCAAAATATTCATCGTCTTCGTCATCAAATGTAACCTTCTCCTAGGATTAAACACATCACTAAGTACATTGTGATCAAACGGTAGGTTGTGGTATGCAGCACGAGACATTCTAGGGCCTGGGACTATCTTGTTCCAGCAGCACCGTAAGGGCCTCGGGGCCTCTTTCACCCAGTATCCCACGCGAGACATGAAGACGTGCGCCAGGAAAAAATAGGTCTAGGGCGCGAGGAGGATGCTTGTTGATAACCTTCCCGGGGAAAATTTTGTAGAAAAATAAACGACATCTGTTGAACTGTTGTAGTTACTGAAAAACTGAACGACTATTACAAAAAAAAATTCGCGTAGGCGGACGGCTTTGAAACGAAGGAAAAACCAGAGCACGAACTGGAAAAAAAAGTTTTCCTTCTTTTTCTTTCTAATATTTTCCAGGAATTCTATAGGAGTAAAAGAGAGTGCATGAAAACAAAAAAATCCTACCTTCTTCTTTCCACCACTGGCCATGTCCTTTATTTTCTTCAGAATCTTCTTACCGCGGTCCTTACCGACTTTAAAGTGAACCTAAGTAAAGAGGGAAAAAAAATTAATTAAAACAATGTCATTACGAGCAGTATAATGGGAATGCTCTTTAAGTTAAATCCCGCTTCCCGAGGTGTGATTCATATCGCCCGAGCCTTTCCGAAGATTACTGATAACTCACACGGAAACCACCCAAAGATGGCTGCTACGGACTTAACATTACACATAAAAGGCAGTCTATGACTGCATGTGCCCATTGTTGTATAGTTGTGGAGTATTGAAGTAAAAAGCAATGTGGGGAAATATGCAGCTCTAGGGGTTAATGAGCAGCTCTTGTCCGTCGATGCCAAAATTGCGAAGGTTTACGGACTTCCACGAAAGAATCGGCACAAAAAGTTTCTAACGAGAATAAACGAAATGAACAAATAACGTGCACACACCCGAGCATTATTCAAGAACTCTTGAAAGAAAATAATCTAAGGCTGTAACTGCCACTGGCGACTAATACTAACTAATTCTAGCGCAATTTTTAACGCGGAACGAAACGACACGGTACGGTTAAAACTGCAAATAAAACAGCGAACGAAAACTATTAAAATATAAACTAGACTAAATACACAAGAAAAGCTACAACGAAATCAACGAGGAAAACTACACGATACAAAACTTACATTTGTTGCGATGTTATAGATACAAATATACCGAACTACACTCGACGAAACTACACTGCAAAAACTGCACCAAACTACGATGAACAATACGGTTGAATACATGCTACGTTACGCAACGTTACGCAATGACACAAAGAAAGCGCCCACAAAATTTTACTACAATTAGCACTCTTGCACAAGAACAATAAACAAACGAAAAAGAATGTAAGGCGTTGCGGTCTACAAAGGCAAATTACCTCTTCTTCGTCCTCTTCGTCGTCGTCCACCACACATCTCTCCACACCTGGCAACTCACCAGAATTATCACCACTCTTATTTACCAGGCGATGATACTTGTATGTCAGCCTGCCACAAAGAAAACGACAACCGTAAACCACACATACGTTTCATGGCATAAATGCCAATTATGGGTAGCGTGATCCACACAGCCACGCAGGTATCTGCAGCCTAAAGCTTCCTGAACTGTTTCTTCTTACTTAGCGGGATTTCTAGTTCATCTTTTTAACTCTTCGCCCACTCCTACCCCTAGCAGATTGACTCTTTGGTCGAATAAGGAGAAACAGTGAGAGAAAAGATTCAACCCAAAGAACACAACACAATAACCAGAAAAAAGCTGGAAACCTGGCAACTCAACCCGAAAACTAACCGGAAAAGGCCAAATGCATCAACAAGCATTAACAAAGAGAATGCTGATTTACGTACTTTCGGTTATTGTACCACAAGCCAAAGACTGCGCAGATCATCAGCACAACAAGAGCAGCAACAACAGCAATCACAATCTGAACAAAAAAAAAAAAAAAACAATCATGGTATACGTAGTAACACGCCTGTCATCGTTATGAGAAAGAAAAAAAAAAGACGTTTGCTATGAACCGCAAGAATGACTAACTAATTGACCGCAAGGTTGGCGGACAGACAAATCGACCGATTACATAGCTTGGTTTTAACAACTGAGTTGAAAATGTAAATTGGCCACCGTAAAGAGTTTCTCAGCTGACGTTTCGAGTGTTGGCCCGTCGTCAGAGCGGTTTCGCTCTTTACGATGGCCAATTTACATTATCAACTCGGTTGAAAAAACCAAATTGTCTTTTTATACCCCCTTCACCCCCCCACCCCCCCCCCTCCCCACCTACGCAACACTACAGTTTATTTCGAAACTTACCCCGTTTTTATCAATTGACTGATAAACCGACCGTCTGACTTACTGACTAGCTTACTGACCACGGAATCAACGAGCGCTTTTCATTCAACTAATTTATTCCTGTTTTCTCGTCACCATATTCCCACCAATGGCGTAGCTCCACTTTCTACATATAAATCCACACACAACCCACAATTCCTCTAATCGCTCTGACGAAGGGCTAACGCTCGAAACGTCAGCTTTTTTACCCTTTACGGTGGCTAATTTACGTTTTCAACCCAGTTGTTAACACTAAATTACTAGCTGACTGACGGACTGGCTAAATCTCTGAATGACTATCAGGCCGTCTGACAGACTAACAGACTAACTGACAGACGGACTGACCGGCCAGCCTAGCGAACGTTGCTTATACCTTGAAGTCCCTCATAGCTGAGCCAACCGACTGTTCAAAAATACTGCATTTGGTTTCTCGTTCTGCAGGTAAGGGAACACCTCCTTGGCAAACTCTGAAATGATCAACAAAACCACACATCAACACCGCATGATTAACATTCTGAGCCTTAAGGCACAAAACCACTTCAAAACCATAAAGATGGCGGCCTTCATACCTTGGTTCTTTCCACATGTATGTAGTCTTCTTCTTTCCACTCTAAATGCAAAATATTTTATTATTAGTTAACTTACTGAAATGGATAAAAATAAAGTCAGTTATTTAAAACAATTCTTTTCGTTGGCTTGTTATCCTAAAAAGATACACAATCGACTATCCTGGGAAGCCTGCCCGACAAACTTAAAGTGTAACAGCGCGGTTGGATTGAAATAGACGCGCCCATTTCGCGTCCAAACCGCGGCTCAAGACTGAAAGACGCCCCCTTCCTCCACCAGAACCTCAGACCCTTGATATACCCCGTTTTTCCAGTTTCTAAAAGCTTTCTTTATTTTGCCTTAAACCATGCTACCATAGATCTGGAGAAAAGCTTTCAAGTAGATAATTGTGATAATATCATACGAACTTCAAACCTACCTCACAAGAGGAAATCACTTTGCGGTAATCAAATTGCGAACAGGTTGGACACGCATGAGGCGTGCGCCACAGGATCTCAAACCTATGAACGAGAGCGTAACATGTTAACTACAGACATACCAATGCACTCATCAAACGTTACTCGCAGTCCAAAGACTGTTAATGGGATTCTTATTCTATTTGTTTGTAATAAATCGCTTACCGGCAGCCATCACAGGTACCATCCGGGCATTTGGAGGGCAACTCAAACGAACCCTATAACGAAACCAAAGGTTTGTAGTAATTATTCCTTGGGGGGAGGGGGGGGTTCGGTTTACCTTAATATGCAATATATCAATATACTTTTGTACACTTCTGTGAAATATCCGCAAAAATCACATAGTACACGTAGCACTGTAAACAGTCATAAGGCCGTTTGGTCTCATTGTTTGTGGATCATGCTCAGCAGAAGTCAAAGTTTTTTCGCAATCAAGTGCGTTTTGTACTGTAATAAATGGAGTCGAACCTCGAATGCTCAATACAAGATACTCAATGTTTGAAGCTTCTCAAGGTTGGAGATTCGAGAGGCGTCAAGATCTTTTCAATCTCATTAGACCACTCTTTTGTCACAACTCTAATAAGAGAAGACACCATTCGAGGGAAACAACTAAATTAAGCCTCAGTCGACAAACAACTCTATGAACGTACCTTTCCTACTTTAGGGTCACACAGCACTGTTGTCCAAACTGACCGGCCATTAGGGCAGGCTTGAGTGGGTCTGAAATACATTAATTTAAAAAGCTGTGTCATAACCTGTCCATCTCAAGAAATTTAGCCTCAGTTTTACAAGTTCGTCATCAGCCATCTTTTTAAATCTTCTGTATCCTAAGCTCTCTCATTCCGTCTTAATTTACAGTCACCTCTTGTTTTAATTTCTAACTTGCCAAACAAATATTTTGTACAGTTTTAAGCAAGTTGTAAAGTTTACACGTCGCAAAAGAAAAGGTTTGTAGTGACGTATCAAATTATTTTTACACATTCAGTACAAAAACGGTAACAGCTTATAGGAAATTATAGTCAGACAAAAGTTGAGAGTCTCGGGCAAAGACTGACTTCTGGCTACGTTTTGTTTTATTTTTGGCAAAAAGTAAAAGCAACAAGACGCTGCACTGACGTTCTCCTGGTTCACATTCTGCTTTCTCAGTTGAAAAAAAGGGTGCAAACTCCAAATTTCGTTTAACTTCCTTACTACTGTTTATCAAAATTGTATAACCTTGTACACAATTAGAAACATTCGATAGTGATAGAATATGAAAACAAGCGAGGCATATATCACTTACTTGTCACCGTGGAACTTGAACAAGAAAAAGGTTGAGGTGTTTTTCACTGGACCGGAAATACAAGAAAAGGCATAAATGAGCAAAATTTATTACTGATACCGTTACTTTCAATTTTTCTACCACTGCCACTATCACTGATACTAGTGTACGACTATCAAAATTACTAGACTACTCGCTGATCATTGTCGTCATACCTTCTTTTCCAGCGAATACTGAGGTTTCGTTGGTCTTATTGTCGGCAATGTCTTCATAAATGCCTTCAAGGCGGTCTGCAATGCTGAAATATAAGAAAAAAAACCATTGATAATGTTTTTTTTTTGGTAGAAGATGAGTAAAATTAAAATTTATCCCGTTTGAATTCAACTAGAGTGGGATGTCATGTATGTATGTAAGAGGGGAGGGGGGGGGGGGAGAATTTGAGTGAGGGTCGGTTGAAATTCCATAAGTTTAACTCTTTATTTTCTGAAGTAAACCGTCAACAAGATCTCTCGAATTTGCCAACAACTCAGCTACAGACGGCATGGACTGTTGAAAAGCCAACGTTCAATACGAGCGTTGTATTCTTTGTAGAAGAAGTAACTCGTGATTCTCTCACCTTAATGTCTGTGTAGTCATCAGAACTGGGTCAGGAACAACGGTCATGCGGCAAACAGGTGAAGTCAAATTGTAGGCTTCCTGTTAAGATTGATAAAAAGAACTGTCAGCGGTCTTCTAACCCTTTGACCCGCAAGGGTGACTGGCTTCTCATTTCTTCGTGAAATATCACCCTTGAATCAAAAATTTGGGTCGTAAGAATAAAAGAAATGATCACCAATTAATGAAGCTCTTATTTGTTAAACAAATTCTCCTCATCAGCACCTTGGGAAATTTATAGAGAACTGTATGGAGAATACGCATACTGATATTTGGGTGTAAAGGGTTTCGGTTGGTACACATGGTCCACAGGTTACAGCTTCGTGTGACACGAAAATCAACTCGAAAAATCCTTGCAACAGAATTTTGTCTTCAATACAAGTTGTAAAAATTCAACCTAGTTTGCAGTGGGGCACATGACTGCAAAGATAAAACGAATTAATTTGACTTGAAGAAGTTAATTACGGGGACATATTACAGAATCTTGCCGAGAGGATTACGTCAAGATCGAGTGCCAAATTCTCGTAGGCTCTTCGTGAGAAATGTATGGGAGAACTACGAATCCGATCTAGGGATGACACTCACTGATTTGCCAGTGGAAAGACTGATGTTATTGTGACACTTTGCCATTTTGTATGGATGTCCACACAAATTCATGTTGAAGAGGTGATAGTACCGGAAGCCACGCTTGGTGAACGAAGGACCAGTGGCAACGCTCTGAGGTCTATGAATAAAGTAAAAGAGAATTAGAGTCTGTAAAGGCACCTTGTTGTATTATTGTAGTTAGTTCACAGGTACTATGTGGAAATAATCACAAACGGAACTACGTTAACCATACAACATCATGATCCAAGTCACCCATTACTGCTGCAGGTTGTCCTAGCTTCTGGAGCGTGAGGTGAACAGGATCATTACTACCCACACCTCCCCCCAACCTCAGAATGGGCAGCTAACCTATCTTAGGTACCCATTCCCTCCACAGCAGTCCATCAGGTTTGCCTGATAGTTTACTGGCACTCAAAAACACTCCTGGGCCGAGAGAGACGCTGTGAGAAGAAAAGCTTCTTGTCTATGAACACAACACAATGGCTCACCCTGGATTGACACTAAACCTCCCTACTTACGTTTAGCACACTCACAATCACACTACTCTTACTCCTTACCACTTCGGAAAGCAACAATTTTTGTCAAAAATATATATTCAGTCATTTACACATCCTTAAAAAAGACTAATTAATAACTGAGCAAGATTTGTTTGTTTCTACAATGTACATACCCTTGGAGACCAGTAAAGTTGAATTGTCGCATATGCTTGATGGAGGTATAGAAACAGTCAGAATGACACATGGTGGATCCCGCCTCACTAAAAATGAAACGCAACAAAAATGAAGTCCAATTCTAGCACAAAGCAAAATTAAGGTTCCTGCTCTTTCAAGATTCAAGCTACTCACTAAGCTAGCCTGTTGCTTTTATGATAAATAATGGACAGGCAAAAATACTAGTTAATCTTTAGCACCTGGTTAAACCTGGTCCACATTTGACACAAGCTTTAGATCCATATGGGTCATTGGTGTTCAAATAGGTGCCTGTTGACAAAAAAGAGAGCATCTGAGTAGAAAGTTCAGGCCCCTTTTCCACCGCAAAAGCAGAATCCTAAATGATTTGACAAAGCACATGAAAAAAGTCATTCTTTTCCATGCACAAGAAAAAAAAATACCTATAGGGCACGGCACACATTTGTGCTTCTCAGTATCCACATAGTTACCCTTGGGACAGCTTATACATCTGAAAGAGAGAGAACAGAGACAAAGCATGATGCATCAGTCATAACAGTGAAGTGCATTGCAGGATTGAATGTTGTTTACCACTAAAAACCGCCCATTGAATTTCAAAAACAACCCTTCATAGTTTGCCACAAAAAACATATTGCTATCAAAACATTTTGCAATGATAGGATGGGTCAAATGCCAAGCTTGGGATTTTGAGTATGAGAGTTTCTACAAACCCCACAGGCTAATGTACTGTAGTTAACACTTGTGTGAGCTGTGTCGCAGACTTAAGGCACAACTTTAGAGATCTCACTACAGAAGGGCACTACATACCCACTCCCTGAAGATACTGGACAGGATCGGCAATGATCAGCACCTCCATCGATGGTGTTGTTCACAGTAATGGAGTAAATCTTCACTCTGGAGGAAAAGAGAATGTATAATTATATTGAGTCTTAAAACATTACAAGAATGACATAACTTGAGAACTTGTCACATATTTGATAACCAGTCACATATGAATGTAGTAATGTTAACCAACAAGTTCTTTGTGGCTCTGTGGTAGAGCATTTCAGAGCAAGACACAAATGGTCTGAGGCTTGATTCCTCGTGGGGACTCAGGTTTTTTTTCTTTTTGCCTTGCAATTGCAATGACACAGAAAAACAACTTTCTCTATTGAGAAAATTAATAGCAGATCAAAAACTATACTTAGTCATAATAAAGGCCAGGACACTACAGGAGATCAATAGCTAAGCTATAATATAGGCCAGGACACTATAATAGGCAGACCCTGGGTCAAAGATTCAAACCAATTTAATTGAGCCACCTGAGTTAAGGGCAAAGATTTTTATCTGTTTTGAAAAAAGTAATTGCTAATCAAAAATTATACATATTAAAGGCCAGGACACAAAAGGGGACAGATCCTTTGGAAAAAGGTCTGAAGTTGATTCCTCATAGGTAGCCAAACTCAAAAGTTTTTTATTTTTCCTGCATTTGTAGGGGTAGATCCCTGAGACAAAGACTCCAAACAGTTTAAAATTGAGCCATCTGAGATGGGGAAAAAGATTTTCATCAAAAATTCTCCACTTCATATAAAGCAAATTTTTACTGTGTCCAATACCCAAAATATATTGCCTATTTCTTATTTTTTCTAGTCTTCATAACTACAGGTAAAAGTAATTACAAATAAAGAAACATACCGATCACTACCATAGGTGTAAGACAGTTGATCATCACTAAATGAGTAGGAACTCTGTTTTTGAAATGTCCAGATAAACTGAGTTTCCCTCCGAGAGGAAATGATGTAGCTAAAAAAAAACAAAAGGAAAAAACCTTTAAAATTTTCACTCAGTTGTGGAATTATTTATCAACCTTTTGGCTCCCTAGATCAGATAGTAATTCTCCCCTCCAGTTATCACATACTTCCTTGTAACTTAGTTTACAAAGACTTGGTCATATAATTATTTATTAAAAGTGCATCAATGGAAACAATCATCATAATCAATGCTGGTAAAAATCAAAATAACTTAAATGAAATTTCTTTTGTTACCTGTACTTCTGCTTTCCATTTCTCCCTTTCCATGTTTGAATCACATTTGTAGTTTTAGACTGTGGCTTCTAGAAATTGCATGTGTGAAAGACAAAATGTAAAGAATAAATTAATTAAATGAGTTGAAACTTTGCTAGTTAATTAACCATTACAACCATAACTGACATCAATAACAACAATGGGAGTAATTAAACTAGGAGTTAAGCAGCAGACATTCCCAGAGGTGGCCCTCCTTGTCCACTGACTTCAGATAAAATTGGAGTTTTACATCATAGTTTTTGTGGAGGTAGGAAAACCAGAGAATGCAGAGAATAAACCAACAAAGCAAAGACAAGAACCAACAACAAACTCAATGTCAACGCACAGTGCAAGAATTGAACCACTGCCACAGCGATGGGAGGCGAGCACTCTTGCCACTAGTCCATTATTGCTCCTACTCCCCAGACAGGAGTAAAATAAATTTGGGATTTTTTCTATTGTTTGTCAGCAATAGAATCACCATCATCTCCATTATCAAACCATCTCAACATAACCATTATGGCCATCATCATCATTATCATCTAGTCATCACAACTTCTCTAAATAACAGCTATATCTCAAAGAATTAACTCTTGAGAAATATAGAAATTCAGGGTGAAGAGGAGTAAGTAGACATTCATGAACTCTTTCAACTAATATGAATTACCTCTTTGAATTTAAAAGTACACTCTCCATCACAGATCAATTCAAAGACAAACTCCACAACACCAAACTGGCCACGTTTGGGATTTTTAAGACCCTCAGGACTTCCAAAGCCTTCTACAGGAAGTTTCAGTGTCATGTAGACATCATCTGCTTGATTGATGCCACTGTCAAGGTAGTTTCCACGAGGTTGCCAGCCCTGCTTTGTGGTGCATCCACGATCTAAAAAAAGAAACAAGTAGTTGTTTGATAAAATAAGTACAGACAAGTCAGTAAAAACCCCCAACAACCAACAACTACCCCCCAACAACCAACAACCAACAACCCAGACTAAATTAAACTTCCCTGCACACAGCAACAATTTGACTAAGTCATTTCAACTTTTGAAGTTTTCACAGAATTTAACTGCAAACATCAGCCACAACAAATTTTTTTGGACAAAAATTGCCAAAATGCACAGATAAGAACTTGAATACATTATTAAACATCTTTCAACAAACCGCTACACATTTGTAGGACAACTTGAACATCATGTAAACCAGCCTGAAGTGTCACACACCTGACATAGAGAAACAAGTGGCTCTTAAATTTTCTGGAACACTATGCCACCATGTGAGGTGATGCCCATAAACTGGCTCAGTGGACACTGGACACTTCTTACACTCTAAGCAAGACATAAAGAACTTGGTTAGTACTGTATAGAAACCTGTATGAGGAAAAGGTGCATGTGATTTTCACAGTCCAAGGTTTACTCTCTACAGGAGATATCTGCAAATATGTAAAGTCTTTAATTAAGGTTGACTTCCACCCCCACAGAGGCTTATTCCCAGAATTCTGAAGGTTCTGTTTGTGTAGGAATACTGGTTCCTAGACAGGGAGCTATTCCACCATAGGTAATCCAATCACAGGTCACCCTCCCCACTCCCACCTCCACAACGATCTGTGGATCAAAGTAACAAGAAAGCAGGGTGTTGTACCCAGGAACACAACACCATGGTCTAGCCAGGCCAAATCTGGACCTCTAAATTCAGAGTCTCACTAACCATCAAGCTAATGTATCACCAACCATGAGAAGCTCTACTACACAACAGATCTCACCTGCTTTGCCATCACTGAATTCATTAACAGGACAAAAGACACAAGAACTGCTTTCGCCTGTGCCATTAAGATGCATTCCAGGGTTACAAGGAGGACAATCTTCCTTCACGCCAGATGCAGGCAACTTCTTAGCTCCATCCACGTCATCTCTGCAGATCTTTGGTTCTATCCACATATACTTTACTTGGGTCTGAGAGACAAGAGGGCAAAATAATATATATATCTCATGGAACGTTTAGGTGTATAGTATTGCTGGGTATTTTTAAGAGTTGTGTCATATTTTGACAAGTCCATGGGGCCAGTCAAAATACAAAGAACTACATTTTTTTCTGCTATGTCTTTCTGATTATTTCTCATAGTTGAGAAAAGCAAAGCAGATAGAGAAGCACAGCATGCGCAGCTAACTGGTTAAACAGGTTTTTTACAGTACAAAATAACCAACTGTCCAAATAACCATGCAATATTGCAGGATATTTATACTCTATTCACACATTATTTGTACTCTACTTTGTGCAGTTGGATAATAATAGCCTAATATTTTATGAAGCATAAACCCTGTTTCATTCAGTAACTTGGGTTACACCACAATAACATAAAAAAATATATCACTTTTCCAAGAAAAGATTTGATGTTCATAGAATGGATACAAAGAATTCAGCATCCATTAATCACAATACACATACCTTGTGTTCACTATCACATGCTGTGCGAATGTCGTAGTAGTCTTGCTCTGTGCATGGCTTCCTTAATGTACAATTCCTTGCTCCACGAGCTTTTGAAAAAAATAACACAGGATTTTGCATTCAGTTGGTGTGAAAAATTTATCCATTCCCAAAAACATAACTTATATAATATCTTAAATTGCTTCAAGTTAAAAATTATGTTAATTTTGGAATTGTTCATAAAAAGTTATTTTATTCATAATTACATGTATTTGATTCACTGTACACAAACCACTCAAAATGATGGATTAAAATTTCAAGTTTTTACGCATTCAACAAGGTCTGTCAAATGATGAAAACAAGTCTTTAAGAATCATATCATCTATTGCTTATTTTCATTAAAAGAGAATAAAATATCACAAATACATCTATGGGAATCTTACCAGCATATTCAGTGACCTCATTACATTTTGAGCACTCTGTAGCACCGGGGGCAGAAAAGGTATTTGCAGGACACATTTTACAACTGAAAACACAAGAAAATACAATAAAATTAGACTCAAAAGGTCAGAAATCAATACCAGAAATTATGTATGTATTTTGGTAAACACTGGATTAACAAATGTTACTACAAGTGAATTAACTTTGAAAGACACAGAACTTAACCATCAAAATTCATTATTTTCTGGAGGAATTGCCAATAACATCCCTTTTGACTTATGACAAGATCAAAAATGAATTTTTCCTTACCATGTAAATACATTTTCAAACAGAGAGGTAGTGAGAAGTGAGAAGAATATCAACTAGGGGATGTTGTTTGATTTAGAGTCAAAATCTCAAAGCTAAAACCACTAGGAATGTAAAAGAGACAGTAAAGAATTCATTTTGATAATTAAATCTTGGAAATGAAAATGTTTTTTTTAGTAAATGTTTGTGGGGTATGTCAAGGAATTTGTGGTAGGTACACTTGTGAAAAATCACCAGCATGTAAGCTGCAAAGGGCAGAGTTTGAAACCAAAATTTCATGACTAAGCTGTTCAAAACCCAGTCAATACAAATTGTAGCAGGCACGTTTCTGCAGCTCAAGCTGAACTTATTTCTCATAACTCAGGCCTGAACTAAAATTATCCATGTTGAGAAAACCATGCTGGAACTAAAGAATGTTAGCTACAATAAGAATTTCACATTGATTGTATTTTTACCTTCCTTGGGCTTCCTCACTGTTGTAATATCCTGCTTCACATGGTGTGCACTCTGATGTGTAAGACACCCCTAACAACAACAACAAAAAATGAAACAAACTCAGAAAGATAAGAAAATGGCAAGGCTAAGGTTACATGGCAACATAAGTAAAAAGTCCAATGATAATTTCCAATATACAGTCAAGGCATACAGTCTTAACCCTTTAAACCCTAAGAGTGCCAAGTATCTAATTTCTCCCTACAATATCACTCCTGAATCACACATTAAGGTCATGAGAATTAAGGAAATGGTCAGCAGGGAAGAAACCGTTGATTGGCTAACAAATTCTCCTTGTAGGCACCTTAGTAAATGTATAAAGAACAGTGTGGAGAATATGTATACTGATATTAGGGTGTAAAGGGTTAACATAATTAATCTCAAGATTATCTTTTAGTCTGTGTCAGTCATCTTCCCTCCTTCACCCAAAGGTGAATAACAGAAAACCTCCCTTGAATTTAAAAGCATTTTTAAGCAAAAAGGTGCCAAGAACACTATGTGCTTACAGAAAGGGAGGCACAAATATATTTCATTCAAGGAGATGACATCCTGGCCTATATGTAGTCCAGTGAGGTTCCTGCATTATGACCAGCAGCCAAATATTTTTGCATCCCACTCAACCAAACTCAGTCATAAGTCAATTACTCATATCAACACTGTAATATCAACTAACAGATACTACTTGATTCAAATGTATTAGTAACAACAAACTGGCAGGGACCTACTATGTAGATCTTAACAGTAAAATGGTTAGGGTGTATAAACAAAACTATTAACTGTACAATAAAATAATAAAACTCAAGTCAGACCTTGAATTTCAATGCTTCTGATGTAAACAGGTTCTCGTCTGTCATGAGAGCCATAGGTGATTGCTGTAACTTGCCAATTGATCACATTCCTACCAGCTTTCAAATCAATCTGTAAATTAAAATGATACACGAAACATTTCTTCAAGAGGAATTTGTTGTATCTTAACCCTTAAGCTGTGATTTAGCAATGTCTTGGACAATTGGGACTTTAACATGTATGTGGATTCCAAATCAGATATATTTTGTCATCACTATGAAACAAAATTTTTTTAAAAGATATTTTGGTTTAGTCAACTGAGTTGATAGGTAAATTGGCCACAATAAAGAGTTTCTTAAACTTATGTTTAGAGTGTTAGCCCCTCATCAGAGCAAATAGAGAAAATGTGGGTTGTCACAATTATTATAAATTGGTTAAAGGAAAAGCAACAATCGGCTCTGCCAGGGTAAGAGTGCCGATTTGAAAGATAAATGGTTGTTGTGGAGTTTTGTGGCTTTCAAACTGCCTAAATTTAGGCAAAGGCTGCAGACCGCCATACACTGTATACTGTTTAGAATGATTTGGGAGATAAATAAACCAAATGTTACATTCTGTAAGTTAATTAAGAAAAGATGCTAAATTTTGAGCTCAGTCAGGAGCATGGAAAAAACAAAACTTTTGAGTTCTCTAGAAGGGCCTGAACTCCTAACCTTTGCACATCTTTCCTAAAATGTTACCTTGGTTGTTCCCCATTCACTGTTTGTAGTACGTGGAGGGAACTTATCCTCTTTATCCAGACTAGAAACTTTGCACTGATCATTTCTTACCTGAAAAATAAAAATTAAATTGATGCTTATTTATTCAAAAATTCATTTGCAATATTCACACAGGCTGGCCAAGTTCAGCTTTAAAGCTGGTTTAAATGGGGGCCCATATGAATTATAACAAAGCCTGACCACAACACTACTGGGGGCTACCTTTCCTTCTACATATGTGTGGGTTCTTGAATGTCCCCTGCTCACCAGTAAAGAGAAGATGGAGGAGAATGTCTGAACCATTAAAAATTTCTGTTATTATATTCTATTATTTTATTCACCTAACAATATAAAATAATGAAATACACACCTGTTACTAAACAACAGACAAATAAATAAATAATCACATATTCAATACATCAAGTGCATTTAAGATTCCTTGACTCCCTTTGTTGGTTAAATAATATAGGCATACAATAAAAACATTATTACAAAGCAGCCCATCTTGCCTGCTCAGGATTGCCCACTTTGATACCATACAAGAAAAAAAAATTATTGAAGTGGGCCATTAAAACGTGATTCAGCAATCTTGACCCCACACTTGGTCAATAATGCATAAATACACCTATTACAGTTATTAATAATACTGACACAGATTATTAGCCATTCTTCAATTCCAAATTCACAAAGGGTATTAAGAAAAAATACTTACAAATACACGGAAAACAGTATAGATGTCATCAGTGTAGTAATAATCAAATTGCACATGACCATCTCTTTCTAGCTGTATCCATAAAAAAATAAAGATAATTTTTAAGATGTGTTATTAACAGTAGTTTTGTATATAAATATTCTGAAAGAAACCTTGAGTTAAAAGCAGGAAATATTATACCCTGAATCATTTTAGCACAAAGAACCCAGATAGGTGTTATAATTTAATTAAACGCACAAAAAGATTATTTGAAACTCACAGTGACGGCATATGACAGTTCTGAGGTGCATTCATCTTCTGGTGACATGATACTGTCACCTGATGGTAACCATCCAGTCCTATAATAAAAAACAAAACAAGATTCACAAATTAGCCATAACTTAAGCAAGTTTTTTTAAGAAGAAGAATTGGCCCATAGTAAATTGTTTGAACCTGGGTATTTTTCAATCATGGAGTCTAATTGACTAGGTGAGGGTAGTCCTAAGAGGAGTAAGTTTCTAAAGAAACTGTGGTGCTGCCTCTGTGAGGGGTATTACAACCCACAGGAAATTTGCTGTTGTCCATGCTTGTGGCATGATGAATTTGAACCTTACCTAGCTGGGGTGGGGAATTTGATCTTGAAGTGTCCAGTCTTTCCAGCAGAATACAAGAATTACATCTTTAAATATGGAGAAGTTTAAGGTACAAAGTTCACTTTTACAAGTGAACAATGCAGAAGAAAAGGTCTACCAGGTCTAAGTTTTAACACATGGTTTATGTGTAAAAAGTCAGGGTCACTGATTTCACCTTTCACAAAAAAAATTAAGTAGGGCATGTGAACTCAATTTTTTGCCAAGGAGGGCAAGAATTTGAACTAACAATATTTTCAAAAGTTCAAATGTCCAAGGCTTTGTTGGAAGCCAACATTAAAGTCATCAAAGAGGAATGAGAAGCTGAAAGGGTGATAAATCCTCTGAACCTCAGAGCAAAGCAAAGCAAAATTAAGGCAATCCTAGATGACCTTGATATGTACTACTCAATGCAAATTTCCCAATATAACAACTTGCTGGGAGACAGACAAACAAAAATTATTTTATCTCCCTACTTTGAGCAGTTAGCTCCACTTGCTTCTTTGAAGTATTCATTGTCATATCCATATTCTTGATAATGCTCATCTACTGTGCGACTCTCAAATCCAGTTGGAAGTTTATCCCAGTCACTGAAGCGCACCCCTCCTCCAACACTGTATGTTCCTTTAGCACAAGCTTTACACTCCAAGGTCTTACTTGTCACATCAACATAATGTCCTGGATCACATGTGAAAGCTAAGGAAAGAGAAAAGAGCTTTGACAGTAAGACATCTAGTCCAAGACTTTTCTCAGTTGAACACAACATTCTCCAGAGATTTTTAACAGCTGGCCACTAAAAACAACTGCAGCTGCCCATAAACAAACGAGAGCCCCAAGGGCATGAGAATCTATTCCTCTTTATTTAAAAAATGATTGTCTTTCTAGTATTAATCAGTCTTTCCAAGCATAAAAGAAAGAAAGAAAAGGTCACAATTTAGTCCAGTTTTACTTTTTTGTCTTATTTAAATAGCTGACTATCAGAGGCCTCTCAATTCTTAACTTATTGCACATATATGTTGTGGTTCAATTTTATCCTTGGTTCAAATTTTATTTTCTTTTGTTTTTGGGTATTGTAATGTATGATAATGAGTTTGAAACAAAGGTTCAGATAAAATTTGAAATTAAAATTTTTATCCTTGGTTCAAATAAAATTTGATCCAAGGATATAATTGAACCAAAATATATAAAATTAGGCCTTGTAAAATTTATGATTAAGAAAATCCTGCTAACTACTGAGGGTGGTAAACTCATGGGCAACTTTGCTATCCACATCCCAGGTATAAAATTTAGAGTCCTCACACCATGAAAATGGCACATAACCTGCTGGCCAGCAAACTTAAAAAGTGTCTTGGTGTGGGGCTTCTTATGCTGTCTACCTCATTGGATCGAGACAAAACCAAGACAGCTGACAATGCGCAAAGCAGATTAACTTCAAAAATTCATAATGCCTTCTACAGGTAATGTACACTTGCTTTCAAATTAAACAAGATTTTGCAAACCTAGTTCTTTTGTAATCCAATCATTCCATTTCCTGGAGGTAATTAAAAGATAAAATCCATCCTACCAAGTCTCTTTTAGGGTAACTGCACATTGGAAATTGTTTATCAGTGACAACATGGATCAAACATAATGGATATATGCAAGTTTTGGGCACAACAGTAATAAAGAAAAAGGTGACAAAATCATTGCCTCCTCTCCTTCCTGTTACTCTGTAAAGCCCCTTCTCCAGACTTCAAGGCAGTAAAATTATCATTGAGTATTTATGTAAACATAGGCTTTCAATGACAGAAGAAAATACTCCACTCTTAAATCGACATCATGTGATGAGAACAGTGTTTTTGAGACAAGGTCTGGTTGGTAGTTTGGGAAACAGGGATACTTATGTCATAAATTGGAGCCTCAGAAGAGTTGATTCTCTGCAAAATTTGCATCAAGTAAGTGGACTGTTTGCCTTTGGCGGAAGCGTTCTTTATTTTGTCATATACTGTTTAGCTTCACCGCAAGTGCTCGCGTAACAACTAAAGACAATATTTTATAAGTAGGATTTCCTGTTGAGTATCTGATTTCTAGTTGGGATGAATCAAAGCCGGTACATTCTCAAAATCTTCCCAAATTCCAACTTCTAGAATGCATTTTGATCACATTGATTTAACAACAACATATTAAAATGCAGTTTACTGACCATGCTATTCTAATTCCAATTAAAATGTATAGCCTTGAAGAAACGATCCCTTAAATAAACAAGGAATTAACGATGCAGTTTCAAATCTTTTCCAGCCCATAGTACGTAGATATTGATATCTAACCGGCAGGAAGCAGTTTTTATTTTAAAAATTTTACTACGCCTTAATATGGAGTTCCGAACGTTTAGAGGGTAGCATTTAGGTTTTACGACATACGTGATATAATTCATGTAAAAATAATTCTGTATCGCGTGAACTTTCTCGCACAGTAAGGGCTTTTGTCAAGGTTATCCTCAAAATCCACAGATAATAGGAGTGCAATCTTTCACTTCTCATAGTTAAACATTTAGTATCTGTTTCCAGTGTAAAGGACTTGCTTGCGAAAGAAGAAAATTATTCACACAACAAAAGAAAGGACGATGAACTGTGGAGACGCGTGATATGAAATAAATCGCCCTAATCATCAGAAAGTGAGCTTAGAAAAATTTTCCGCTTTTCCAGGGTTAAACACATCCCGATCTGTAAGATAATCCACGTCCTTTTCGTCCTTGTACACATAGATTGTCGGAAAGGCTGAAAGGAGGCTATATGTCGCAATATTTTTCAACCCAGTTCAGAAAAGCTTTGTTCATGTTTGGAATACTTATTGTTCGTAAGTGCATTAATGCCAAGTAGCGTCAAGATAACCCGGCAGGTTTCTAGTGAATTTTCATGCCATAAAAATAGAGAATTAATATAACGCTTTCGTTTTCCATTATTAAGCATCGTACTAGAGTTGAATTCTACTTACAACACCCCTTTTGCCGCACGGGTACTTCGCCTTCCACAGTGCAACCTCCATCTTTTTTAGGAACAGCAACTCGCCATCTTCCTTCGGCCGAATCGCATTCGGTAAAATCGTAAGTGATTTGATCCTACAAACAAAACGAATTACATAAAAAATATAAACCGAAAAAAGAACTAATTCGATAATCATCGCCCGCACTGTTAGGTGTTCGGCAGAAAACCTGAAAGAGCTGAGCTAAAGAACAATGATCTAGCATAATTAAAACAGGGCGCCGAATTCCACCAAGAAAGTTTACCTGTGTGCATTTTTCGCCGTGTAAGTACAAAGGCAGAATAGCCAAGCTAACAAGCAGCAACATGTATCTGCTCTTCATCCTTCAAGAAAGTGAATCTTTATCACTTTAAAAAACTCGATTGACGCCAGGTACAAGGCGAATCTTCTCTCGAATTACGGTCGTAAAGAAGTCTTCTTGCCGGGAGTGTATGCTTTTCAAATTCAAATGAGGAACACTTGAATGGTTCCTTGAATCCAGCCCTCCGCAGCGCTTCAAGGACGACATCGCCATGGTAACTATCATACTCCTCGATTGACTCCTCGTTCAAAGATCATCTCAGCGAATATTTGATTATGTTTCCACGTGTCACTTCCTGTTTTAATTCCAATGTAAGAGGGAAATTCCAGCGTAAATTTTTTACACAACTTCGCTGATCACGATCCCAAAGATAACATTAATTTTAGAATCACCCGATGATAAAAAATATAAAATTTAATCAAAACTGATTATTACTAAGGCAGCCGTGCCTGTCTCAAAACATTTTCTGTTTTTATTTGCATGAAAATTATCTATTTGGTCATGAAACATTCGTCAAAATCGTTTCTATTTACGTTTGTCCTCTGGAATATGTTTGAACAGTAGCTTATGATAAAAGTAAATTGCAAGAACTCAATGATTTTCAAAACTAAAATATTCTAAATTCGCGCACAACTGATTTCACCCATCCCCCCTCCCTTACCCATCGAGAAAAATCCTAAGAAATGAGGAAGAAAGAATTACGCTGTCATAAAATTTCGGAAGTCTTCAGCAACCCATCATTGATTTCCTAGGAATAAATGACTAGTCCACAAAATTTGTGTTCGGTTGATATGCGCTTAAGCTATACCGACTTGTAAAATCAGTAAACTTCCACGCCCTTTCATATTTTAAACATGAAACCTTTAGCGTCATAAAGTGGGCGGCCAAGTGCAGTATATTCGCCCTGGCTCCCAATACCTAGTGCCCAGTCTATTGTGCATTTCCAGTCTGTCCCTTTTAAGGAACCTCTGCCTTCTGAGAAAATTTCCGAACTGGAAGGGGAAGTTTTCACGTAAGAGTGGATAAGGAGCTACATACCACTGCGTCAGAGGACTATCAAGGCAGAGATCACGAAGGACAAAGCAGGTGTAGTACCCCCGCACAGCCCAAACCTCTAGCAGTGTGTGGAAAGGTTCTTTTATGTGGCAGATGTGAGGGAGACGATTAATCTATTAATTCTATGGCCGGAAGAGATTTTTTTTGTCCAAAAATAACCTTTTGGGGGCCCAAATATACAAAAATTCCATTCCAGCGTTGGACTTGAACCAACACAGGTTTATGAGCACCGAAGCGACTCGGATAGTGAATTCATGGAAAATGAAGATGAAGAGTTGAGGGACTTTCCTAGAATTACACTTACCGCTATAAGGTCTGGTCTTTACCTCACCACTCCTTGCCACAGCGCTCAAAAACTATCGAGAGTCGTCTTGTACTGTACTTAAACGTGGACTTGTACCATGATCAAGTTAGGACATAATACATCATACGTCTACCTCATCTACCTTCCATAATGAATCAGATCATATGGAATCACTTCGTCAGCAACGAAGTACTTTTTGGACCAGCTAGTGTGGTACTCGATGAAGGAAAGTCAGTAAAGGGAGTCGGCTTGGCAGTTTTGGTCATGTCATCAGGATGGGTGACAACAGCTCAGAGAAGATGCTAATGTTGAGAAATATGTCAACGAACTGCCGCGATACAAAAGGGCCGGGCTCTCGAATATGATATTACTGATCTCCACTGATCTCCATGGAACAGCCGCAGAAAACTGCCTTGACGAATCCAGCTTGAGGAGTCTGGTCTATAAAATATTCTGGTAAGGGAAGATATGTTTTTTATTGGGGGAGGGGGGAGTAATTTTTTTTTACAAATCTGTTTTATTCGCAACCGGAGGGGGGTCACAGTTTTTTTTGGCAAGGAAAAAATGACTCCATGTCGCTTAGTTGACCCTTATTTGTTAACAAACATGCGAAGTGTGTAGAAACCTAAAACTTGTATATACAAGCAAAGCTACCAGCCAAGATTAATTTAAGTTATTTACAGGTGTCGAAATATTGTATCAAAAAGCTATCTTCTCCTAACTAACGTAATCGTCTCTCTCAACCTGTGCCCGCCTTCGTCCATATTTTGACGGTGGTAATAATTCCGCGCGGGGTTCTGGTATAAAATTAGTCTCCAGTGACCATTCGTCATTTAAGCTACTCGGGATTGAACCGACAACTCGATCTACTGCATCACTTTGCGAGTCAGTTTCAACCTCGGAAAGTGATGAGGTCACTTGTTGCTGCATATTTCTTAGCAGGGGCTTTCGAGGTTGTTGACTCTCCATTGAATCGTACAGCAAGCTGCCAATGTGCGCTTTGATCATTGCGACCTTTTCAGCTTTCTTTCCTTTGAAGGTGATCTTGTGATAGGAAAAGTACAAGGATAGCTCGTCCACCCTCAAGGACGACAGCTTATCGGAGTTGTACAGTCCAACCCAGTCAATGTCGTTGTGCTCCCGGTTCAGCCTTTCCATTCGCTCCCTTTCAGTCTCCTCTTTCTTCTTCTTCTTGCGCATTTTTATCTGGGCAAGGTGCTCAACATACTCTGCCACGATCTTTTCGGGGGCAATTTATTTATCTGAAAAACTTCCTAATAGCCTCACTGTCCCCACTGACTAGTTCACTTTCCTCAAACAATCGCTAATCTGAGCTTGAGGCTGGAAGTGGTCCGGCTCACGGCCATTGGTGGGGGTTGCACTCCAGGAGAGATAATGGAAGTTTGGTAGCTTGCCATTGTCGGGATATGGTCGCTGAGTTGGAAGTGGAGCGCTTGTAGTCTCATCCTTCTCGCAAAATTTACATAGTTGGCCATTTCGCTCTTGACACGACATTCGCTTATACTACATATATGGCTCTCCTTTCCCACAAGGGAGGCTCTCAAATTGTTCTGGCTTGAAAAAATACCCATGCCCCGGAACAGAACTCTTTTGACTGTTGGTGACTCCAAGATACTCACGGTTGTAGAAAAATTGATTTTCTGGTCAGTCGACCAAAATTGTTGAAATATACCCCTGTGGCACTGGGGAGTCGTCAATTCGAAGACACACTTCCTCAGCAACAGCTCACGCATTTTTTCCCATGACTTTACAGCTGTGTACGTCTAGCTCTGACGTTGAAAGAGACTGAACTTCCTCTTCAGAAAGTCTCTGCATACGCGGTTATGTGAGTAACACTTCCGGTTATTTTTGTCATGGAGGAAGTGGAGGAAGGGTCAGATGTTTTCGTGTAGGTATTTGTGAAGGGTCATGCATTGATCCATTCTGGGAAGTGGGAGGGCCACGTTTTTTTCGCAAAAAATTTCTAAATTCCCCTCCCAATAAAAAACGTACCTTCTCTAATGTGGTTTTGCGCGTGTAACAGAAGGAAATAAAGTATAGTTTAAAATCAGGCTTTGAAACTAATCATGAATCATTGTTAAGGTCTTAGAAGTACGCCTCAGTTAAAGGAAGACCGAATAGGCCTCAAAATGGTTAATAATTTATATCAAATGATGAAAAACTTAATCTTAACTTAAACTCATCGAAGAAATAACTTCCTGATTACCGTCAGCCCTACAACTTAATCGTCAGCCCTCAAAGACTCCTACATTTGACCGTCAAAATCGGTAAAAAAAAAATTGAGACCCTCTTTGAAAGGGCCTCCTGTCATAAAATCAAAACAGATTTGGCGGACGAACATATGGATATGTTTTTAATGCTGTTGACTTATTTAATCGCTTGTTAGGAGCTTAATATTGCGCTATTTAAACTTTTGTTGATAACCATTTGAACAAAAATATCCATTCTAAGAACATTTGTTCTCTCTAATGGTTCGCAACATAAGACTCGGACAAGTAAGCCATATCAAAGGCCGAGGAACAAGGCTGAGAGGGTTGTGTTTGTTCACAATTTAGCGCCCGCGCGAAATGGCACAAACACCGCGGGCTCCGTTCCTTCAGACGTGCGCACATTGACGAGTATGTCACATTATGTCATGCATGTGTTTTCGAGTGTTTTAGTATGGACAGTCAAAAACGCTATGAAAACGCTTGTGCAAGTGTGCACGTAATGTAAGCGATGCGCTTTTGACAAGACGAAAACAGAGCATTTCGAATCACCCGTTTATGTAGACGGGGCCTTAGAATGATAATTCATGCTTTTGATCGTAAAAACTGTTTCTTAAGGAAAATGACTGACAGTTTGAAAAAGCCTGACATTTTCTTTTTTAATTCGGTTCGTCTGAAACGAGATGTATCTAAAAAAAAAACACTCTGGAATCTTTTTAACAGCTACCTTAGTTTCTTTTCCGTTAGCCAAAGGCGTCTAAGGTCCTTGGACACTAACACTGCAAATTTGTCGAGGGCTCAGTGCGACCTATAAATCAAAAGGAAGCGCACTGGGGGGGGGGGAATCATGAGAAAAGACAGAAACGTGGCGAACTTCTCTATTTTCTCCTTACTTTGCTGTTGGAGGAAATAAGAAAAACAGGAGAAAACACCCAAAGAAAACATTGAGTACAAGGAAAAGCGCGCGTAACTTGATATTAGTCTCGTACCTTTCAGATACAGGTTAACAGCTAAAATTTTACTTTGCTTGATGTTCATATAGATATTATTGACGCACCAGGATTTCGTCCGTATTTTTCAGCGGTGATCATGTGATCATGATCGGTGAGTCACAAACTTAGTTTAGGTTGAACGAGAAGCCTTTGATATGAAATTAATTTCCTAATTCTCTGAGAAAGGATTATTTTTCAAACGCAGAAATTGCGTATTCTTTGTCGAAATCTACTATCGAGAGCCAAACCAAAGGAAGAGTTAAAATTCTGTCTTCGAGGAATTTCTTACATGAATAGTTATTTCCTTGAGATTTGATAAGCTAACACAGACAGGCCTACCTTTGTGCGGGAATAAGTAAATCGTAATTTTCTCTTCCTCGTACCTTGATTAACTCTAGTTTGCACTTTAACGGACGAAACCATCGGAAATTAGACGAACCATCCACAATCAGACGGTACCGCTAGTATCCAGAATGAACCACGCTTAGCGAAACTGACCGTCCGAAATCGTGCGAAACCCTCCGAGCGGAGACAATATAATTTTCCAAATCATTCTAAGCAATATATGGTAGTCTGCGCCCTTTCCCTGCAAATAGGCAGTTCAGAAAGCTGCAAAACTCCAGAAAAAATCTATCTTTCAAATCTACTCTTAAGCCCCACGGTATCAACCATTGGCAAACCACACCATGTGTTCGTGGTTAATAACTCTTAACATAAGACGAACAAAATCTACGACGGTTATGAATAAAACTCAGAAAGTTTCTCTTGTACCTCACGATGTAATAAACCAAAACAATGATTTCAAATTCTTAAGTCTTTATTTTAAGCGTGTATGTTATTGCATTTTCGAAGAGTGTTAGTTTTGATACATTTACACTGTATATACACCTCAAACAAGCTGAACTATTAGCAGATCCCGAATCACAGATGAAATGTTAGACGGAAGACACAGATAACAGCAGTAAATTTCACTTTAACCCAGAATTACTGTAAAAACCTCAAGGTGCTAAGATAGTATCATGCTCTTTGAAATATAAAACGGTTTTCACTCGCTGTAGCCAAGTTACTCTTATATGAACTCATCGATAAACTATCCAAATAACCAGTTCAGTTTCTGGGGAGTTTACCATCGCACAATCTCCAATACTATTGGCAAGGATAGCTGTTGCAAACCAAGCCAGGAACCATAAGATTCTGTGGGTTGGAAATGTCTACGTTAAGAAATCACAAAAAGTATCCGAAACACGTCTGAGCCTTTAATTTAAGGCATTGAGTCCACCGTCCCAAAAGATGACATTTCACAATCTCGTTAGCGCTGTTCCTCTTGTCATTAGCATTTACATGGCTCTTACAGCTCATTTTCAGCGGTTGGTTACCATAGCAACGAACTAAGGATACTGACCCATCTCCCATCTCCTCCTACCCGTTGGATCAATAGGCCCAGTCTCTGTAACCTTATGTGTTTCACTCTTTTCTCTGCCGACTCTTCAAGTCAACCCTTTATTCCCCCACCTGATTAACATGTAAATTTTCCTTTCTATAATCATACTGTATCTGTATCACAGTTGATGAGAAAAGATAAACTCACATGTATCAGCTGAAGGGTGTCATCTCGGTGTGACACCAAATTCTCCCTTCTCAGTTGTAAGAAAAATTTACGGCGACTGAAAGGGAGAATTACGCATCACATCTTGAGAGTAACAGGGTTTAAGACTGTCACCAACTAACAAAGAGTTGTTACCTTGATGATAACAACAGTTAAACCGAAACAAAAGAGCAACCATTTCACAACACTTTAAAAAATGCTGAAATCTCCGTTACATAAGCCATTGTGTACCTAAGCAAAACTGTCACTTTTGAATTTCAAGTAGAGTTAAAATCCTATGCCCGACTATACTGAAAAAAAAAAAGAAAGAAAAACAGAAAATAAAACAATGTCTACAATAGATGATAAAATGAAATATTACCAATTCTGTCCTTAACCTTTTCAATCCTAACATCAGTATCCATATTCCCATACTGTTCTCCATACATCTCTTAAGGTGCTGATGAGGAGAAATCGTTTAGCGATGAAGAGCTCCTATACTTGGTGATCAGTGCCTTTATTCTCATGACCTTCATATGTGATTCAGGGGTGATATGGTGTTAGATGCTAGCCCCTTTTAGGGATCGAGGGCTGGACAAGGAATTAGGCAAAATTTCAATCGAATGAGTCTATAATAATCATCACTGAAAGATGAGAAAAGTAATCACTATACATGAACTACATAAATCACTATGTTTTTTCCTAGAAAGGGTAATTTAAATGGAGAGGACTTTTCAAGGATCTTCTAAAGTTCCTTCCAAACAAACCAAATTCATTTAACAGTTCATTTTGCATTGTAAATCAAGTGTCACACTTGAATTGAAAATATTTACCACACTGAAAATCCTAGTTACCCAATTTTCAAACCATAACCCAATTTACAAACAATAACTATATCTGCACTAAAATAACAATTATTGCATAACACATCTAAACAGTTTTTCACATAGTCTTCTATGAGAATCATCTTTGTAAAACTGCTACGATTTGCAATCATCCTCACTGCTCTTGTCTTTCCCTGCAGCACCCTTTCTAAGTTTGTCGAAGTATTCTCTTTGAGACTCTGCTAAGACAGCTGCCAGAATACTTTCGTCTTCCCATTTGGAAAAACCTGCAAAACCAAGAGGTGCAATGGAAAGATTACCACCTCAAAACAAACAGAATTTTAATCAATATGCACCATATGGTTACCAGGAAAATTCTCACTACAGCTCTTATTTGACCGATGAATTCCCCATAGTTTTGTATTAAAGAACAATGAAAAGTAATGATTGGCAACCACCAAGCCAGATCTCACAAAATTTCCCTAGACTATGCGCAAACACATTGAGGATCCACTATGTTTGTTCTCTCTCAGGCTTTATTTCTTTCTTTCTTTTTTCTTTTTTTTTTTTTTTTTTTGGGGGGGGGGGGGGGAAAGAGAGAGAGAGATAGGAGGGGAGAGGAGAGACCTAGCTCCATGTATAAACCTATCAGTTTCTTCACCAGAGATATTTGCAGACTTGACTGCAAGCAATCTACTGTAGTCCAAGGGAAAGGGCTTCACCTATCTTTGGAAACCTGTTGGAAACCTGTCTGCCCATAAGGCTATAGTCAAGCCTTTTCACTCATCTTACAAACTATCTTGTTTGCCCATAGAAGCAGAAGAAAGAATTTTCATAAAAAAAGAATTGAACTCCTACAAGCCTACTTTGTAATACCAATATTGCTGCTGTGACATCATGTGAAACCACTCTTATTTTCAAAAGATTTAATCACAAACAAGATCATAGCTGCATCTTTCCACATATTTCTTACAATGTTTAGACCATGTGGAATCAAACAACTCAGACCTGCACTCTGAAAGACATCTCAGTGATAATTCTTACCATATCCGTTGGGAGGTAAGAAGTCTAGGTAATTTGGACCATCTGAACCACCAGTAGCCCCAGGGGGTGAGGGTGGATTAGACGACTCTGTCGAACATCCCGGCTTGGAATCGTAGTAAGTTGGTTTCACACTGCTAACAGTACATGTCATCGTTGCATTACTTGCTGGAGGGCTAGATTTTGTTTCTGATGAAGATGCACTTGCCAAAGTCTCATGCCTGGGTGAACTGGGAGAATGACGCGGAGATTTGCTGGGAGGGGCACTTTCTGCAGCCTCACGCTCACGTTCTCTATGATGAGGGGATGTTGGACGCTTAGACTCAGTGCATGTTGATGTACTGCTGGTTGCAGTAGGACTGGAACACGGCTGAAAAAAGAAAAGAGTATTGAGGATACTTTAAACAATCAGTGGCACAAAAATGATTTGTAAATCCGTTCTTTTCTGAGGTAAAATGAAAATTTTTTAGAGAAGAGGAGAATGTGTAAAATGAAAAGGGAACTCAAGACAAATAAAAGTAATGATATGAAAGAGACACGTGTTTAAATTGTGCAGAGATTCATACCAACCATTTTTGTTCATTCTGACTCAATTGAACTTTGGGTAAAATAATGTTCCGTGATATTACTTAATACAGTCAAACCTTGATTATCCAGAAATCAATTATCAAGATTCTTAGATTATCTGGAATTGTTTCTCTGGTCCCACTTTTTAAATGAATATTTAATGAGCTACATTTGAGAACCATAACTACTTTTTTTGCATTAACCACAGGCACAACTGAACATGGGATGTAATTTAAAAATATCTAGACCCTCCACTGGATAGGAAAACAAAAAAGAAATCAGGAATATGTTACCAATGTTCTAGTTCCCCTTGATCGTTTTTCTCTTTCTCTGAGGAACTCTAAGAATGATTCTCTGGCTACTGCTTCTTCCATGGCCTCATTTGTTGCTTCCCAGTCAGTACAACGCAGTTTATCCGCTAACATTTGCTAAAATTCAAATACAACATAAAAAAAAACAGACAAGTCAGTCTGTTAAATTCAAATTGAACATTTAGTATTTTTCATCTTTCATTCAGCCAGAAAAAAATTGCACAACAATAAATCTGTTTAGAGATCTGGACAGACCATATCTTCTATTCTTCCCAGAAACCTACCCCAACTTTACAATATTGAAAAATAACAGTCATCTTTTGAAACTGACTTTGTTAGTGCAACATATTAAGTGAAGTTTTGACAAACTAAAGTACCTGTTCAATTTGCCAGTCTTCTGACTGCTTGAATGCATCATTCACCAGGGTGCCCTGAGGAAATAGAGGTAATATATGCATTAATATTTCCAACATGAAGATCATACAGCATGATCATTCAAGTAGGGGTATTCCAGAAGGAATGTTCTCTGCAAGACAAATGGTTTGTCAATGTGAAGTCATTATCACCGTCACTTGAATCTGACAGTGACTTAAAGTTGATGAAATAACAGATACCACCCCTGACAACATGAACTCTTTAACTACTGAGAGTGATAGCATCTACTTTAACCCCTGAGTCAAACCTCAAGGTTATGAGAATATAGGAAATGATCATTAATTTAAGAAGCTCTTGATTTTTAAACAAATTCTCCTTCTCAGCACCTTAGGAAATGTTAAAAGAACAGTATAGAGAATATGCATACTGATGTTAGGGTGTAAAGAGTTGACAGTCCTTTCAAACTTCTTCGTCATCATCATATTTTTATTTGCCTTATTTACACAATACAAAAAAATTTATTTACAGCAGTTATAGCTAGAAGGCAAAGAGACCCAGGAAGCCACCAGGCTTATGGGAGAGCCACCTCACTTACATTAATAAATAAAGTAAAGAAAAAGTGCTGCAAATGTGCGGCTAGGCCAATTCAAGGATTATTTAGGTAAAAACTCTTGCATTTTCGTCTCAAAACTAAGAAGGTTTGACGAACGAGTGACTGAAACAGGAAGAGAGTTCCAAATTTTAGGACCTTGGTAAAGAATTGTAAATTGCTTGAGATTCTTCAGTCAGACAAGCACACTCTACCATTAACTATTACTCTGGATTGCATTCAAATTACTCACTGAATCAGGTAATGACTACTACTTTCTGTTTAGCAAATGATCAGCAAGGTAACACTCTTACATGTGCAAGGAAATATCAAATGACAACTGGGAAATATGCTTATGGCACAATGCTCACTTACCCATGGTTTGTAACCAGAAAGTCCAAGTCCTACACCAACAGATGGCTTGTTAGGATTAAGAACTGCATTATAGTGCACACCATTGTGGTAACTGAGGCGGATTGGTTCATAATCAGTCTTGTAAGAACTGTGGAAAATATTTATGGGTTCTGCAGAAGAAAAATAGAAATTCAAACTTGATTCACATTTTGCACTTCCTTCATATATACCATAATTTTCTGGCTTTAAGCTGAGACTCGTAAGACAAACCTGTGCTATACTGATAAACTTCAATTGTCCTGTTATACATCTCACACATAGCCTGCATCTCAATGTGGTTTCCATGGCAATGATTTTCACGTTTATGTTTGATGTAGCTTTTAAAGTCTTCAGTGACATACTGAGAGAAGTAGTCTTCATTCCAAAAACTCTCACCTATGAGCCAAAACCTCTTCTTTGGCTATAATTTCATTTAACTCAAGCTTCAATTTGTATAATTCTTTAAAAATGAGTTTAGTCAAAGCATGAACCTGCAGGTGGTCCCAACTAGTCTGGGTGGTTATTTCTTACTAATTAATACAATACATCAAAGGTAAATTATAAATTTAAGCTTTAAATTGATAGACTGGTATGACAAACCTGTGCTATACTGATAAACTTCAATTGTCCTGTTATACATCTCACACATAGCCTGCATCTCAATGTGGTTTCCATGGCAATGATTTTCACGTTTACGTTTGATGTAGCTTTTAAAGTCTTCAGTAACATACTGAGAGAAGTAGTCTTCATTCTTGAACTAGAATCAGACAAAAAAAAGAAATGTCAAACGAAGCAGGTGTTTCAGTTCTACACCACACTAAAATACAAAGGTTATGGTCCCCATGACCTGAGGGAAAAGGTATAACTAAAGAACTGATCCTGCAGAGAATAGAAAAGAAGCCTGAAAAAGTTCAAGCTTCAACAGGATTCAAATCCATTCCTCCATTTCCCTCCCAAGATAATATATAGATTTAGCCAAGCCTAAAAGCGGAGCTCGCATTTTTTTTTCCCGCATGTCTCAAGAGCACAACACCTTGCCCTGGCCAGGACTAGAACCTGGGTTGTCCAACTCGGAGCCCAGTGCACTGACCACTGGACTACTGAACAAAGCTGTGGCGTTGGCGTGCCCACAGTACAGTTGACCACGCAAGTTAAAAGTAGCACCTTGTACGGTCGTATGGTTGTACATCCAAATTTTTTCGGCTTGATGGGTTACTACTAGTTTGTATAATTATGGGGCAATGCTCTGCGAGCTCCACTATAAAGTTTATCCAGATTCACTTAACCCTTTACATCCTAAAATCAGTATGCATATTCTCTGTACTGCTCTTTAAATCAAAAGCTTCTTTCATTGGTGATCATTTCCTTTATTCTCATAACGTTAATGTGAGACTCGGGAGTGATATTGTAGGGAGAAATTTAATGCTGGTCACTCCCAGGGTTTAAGGGGTTAATAGCAAACAATCATCACAGAGAATTGCCAACTTTCAGTTTTTAAGGAAGCCTTTTCACTCCCAAGATCTCAATAGTAACTCTCCTTTCTGTCTGCTATAATATTCTTGTAGTGGGCATAATTTTGGTGTTGGATCAATTAATAATGCCATAACTTATATTTTTCTTCATTCTCATCACTTGTCTGCATAGTATTGTATTGATATTTTAAGGAGAAATTTTGTTGTGATCACTTGTTCAAATTGAAGGGTTAAAAGATTAGTATTAATCTGAAACAACCTGAAAAAAAGCCAAACTTCTATGGTTGCTTACTACTTAAACTGTTTTGTTTAGGGTTTGACAATTAACTTAAGAATCCGTGTGCAAGTGTAAAGTTACTACCTGCAGCCACCTCTTACCTGACTCACCCATGCAGGGTTTATCCAGGTTCACTTAATAGCAAACTATACCATCAGAGAACTAGCAATCTTCAGTTTTAAGGGTAACCCTTAACATATTCTGGTATGTTCAAATAGAAAAGGCTGAGGGGTTTGAATAACATTTTCCATAAGTGCCTGCTGATGGAGTATTGGGTACTTGCAAGCTAAACAAATGGTGGTGAGGGGTCTTACAAGTGACAATAGACTGCTGGTAACTAACTTTTACTGAAAACTTTTCCAAGGATAAAATTATGATGCACCCAAACTACATATCAGAAAAGCTTTTTCAAAATTTAAATCCAAAAACTTTAATTACCATGTAGTCCATACAGTGCCTTCTGACCACTGAGTGCATTTCTTGATCACCATATACATGTTCAGCTGTAGAGAGGTAAAAAATTTTTTACAAGATTAGAATAAACCATACAGATGACTAGTGCTCTTCGCACACATTCACCGGCTAGTTCCAAAGTGATTGGCAACCACTAATAACCTCTAAGGAGCCAAAGAGATAATTTCAAACATTCTTCAGTACATTGATAGAATTAAGTGTTTTTTGTGTAGTATATATTACAACAATTGTTCACCTCAGTGTCAGTTAACCCTTTAACTCCCATGAGTGACCAAGAGAGAATTTCTCCTCACAATATCAATCTGATAACAACCATACAAGTGATGAGAATCAAGAAAAACATCATTGTGGGGATAAATAGTTGATTCAATACTAAATTCTCTGAACTAAAATTATAAAAATTGTATGGTTGACATTAGGGAGAATTACAAATTTTGTGTGGGAGTTAAAGGGCTAAAGAGGAAGATCTTTATCCCACCACTTCATGTCACTGTAAATATCCACCACTTTCACCTCCAACTTAGTGAGCAATTGTTAATTATTTCATGCAGTTGTTTAAGTCTGAGTATTTCAAGAGGAATTCAGTGAATCACAATTAATTTCTCACTGGAAAATTATGTACCAACTGTACCACATCATAAGAGCAAGTGCAATTACAATCACCTGCAGTAATATATAAAATGTGAAATAATGAAAAAAAAATGTAGGCTGAATAATACAGCCTCTGAGATTTTCCTGACAGATAATTCTTTGAAGGACAACAGCTAATAACTCGAAACCTGTTAAAATTTCCTTGCATTACAAGTATCTTCTCACTGGTGACATCAATAGTGTGACCTTTAATATCAGGCTGTACAGGAGCCAATGAAATACAAATTAATTTTTTTTTTTAAACTTTTGACATAACTTTCATTTGCAATTAGCCGACAAAAGGATTTTACCCAATCCCTAAATGAAGGGAGATATTTAACCTTTAAAGAGTTTTTTCATATCTAGTTCTCATGCAAATCAAGATCACATAACACTGTGAAGTCTAAGGTGGTTCTTTCATATGTTACCCAATGTTAAACAACATTTAAGGACTTTTCCATCCAAGTAATAGTGGTTGCATTGTTGAAGAACAATCAGACATGAGAAATTAACAAAAGTTGCAAACCAGAAAGCAAAAAGAAAAAAAATTATCAAAAAGAGTAAATGAGTAAAATACCTCAAAATCATAAAAAAATTTAAGTCTCAAATTGGCGATAATAAAAGAAAAGACATTGCGATTTGCAAAGACAATTTTTCAGATAATCAATTTTAAAGATGTCATTCATGAGAATCCTAAGTCTTCAGTTCCCCACTGATATCTCATACCTTGATCTTCTCTGGAATTTTCCTCAGGCAAAACTATGGCCTTAAAATATATATTTGCTCTTTTGTAATAAGCCATATTGAGACCACAAATTATAGAAAAAAAAATTGCAAATCAGAATTTTTTTTCTACAACCAAATGTCAGTGAAAGAAGCTAATGAAAAATCAAGCGCTAGTGTAGAAATTAAATGCTCAAAAATTTATCAAATGGGTTGCAATCGAGACCTGCAAAAATTAATTTGCATATTGGCAAAGAAACTTCACGTTAAAACCGGGATGAAAATTATAAGACAGGTATAACAGATACTACGCCACGAGGGCAAGGTACACGTGCACATGTGATGATGCTAATTCCGGGGATCAGAGTGAGCTTAAAACCATTTTCTGATCTTAATAGAAGTTCCCAAATCGTGTTCATCCAAAAAATGTAAATGCACAATAAGCCGGTCAGATGTACAACATTAAAAGCTGATAATGCAACTTGAAAGCCAGTCGAAATGAAGAACGCATATCGAGATAAGAGTACATCGTTTCTCTTCGACCAGATGTTACAGGCACGGACAGAAACGATTCCACGGAAAGGAGAATAAAAGAAAGACAAAATGTGAAAAAAAAACATGATTTAGCTTTCGCTTATTCCGTGAGATGATTAATAAGTAGAAAGTGTTTTACGTACCAACCGCTCGAAATAAACAAGCACCATCTTGTGCCATTTTCTTGATAACAAAACCTTTCTTTTCTTTAAGAGCTTGTTCAAACTGTCTCTCCATCTTCAAGAAATCAAGTACAAATAAAACGTAAGCGTTAATACCCAACAATTTCCTCCAGAAGCGTAAGAACAAAAACGATACCAACCTCTTCGGTCGACAAAGGTTGGTCGGTTTGGGTACACTCATATTCATCGGAGCTGTTATTTCCCGCTTCTTCACTGTGCCTTTCATGATATTTGTGTCGATGTGGAGGACTTCTATGCCTTCTCTTCGAAGTGTTAGAAGCTACATCAGCCGCTTCTCTACTCTCAAAACTATTTCCTAGGTATTGCTCTTCGCCATGGCCAGAATACTCTTCGGTCGAGCGATTTCTTTCGGTAACGCCAGCGGAAGAAGTCCAAGAAGAATTATTGCGTATCCGCGTTCTGTTGTCATTGCTTGAACTTGTATCAGTCTTCTTGGATTCTGAATGCTTTTTCTTTGGTAAAATGGTCATGACGAGGCACTAAAAAAAGCTAAAACAATGAAAACACCACAAGAATCCGAACCCTTTCAGACTGTTATTAGAATTAGAAATTTTGTGATCAGCGGCGTGACGTCACCAAATAATATATGCGCACAAAAATGCGCAGAAAGAATGACCCGCGCTATGCTTTATGGGTATCCAAGATGGCGTACTACTTGCCCTTGGTCAAATTACCTACTCGGTCATGATATATTAATGCACATAAAAAAAAATTAATGAATATTATATTTGGAGAAAGGGTTGGTTAATAAAAGTGAAAGAAGGGTATATAGTGATCCGAAATTTGATAAAACCAAAGGCAACCAGTCATTCTCTCGATGGGAGATTCCTATAAGGAGAGGAGTATATCACTCAGGGCAATTTTTTCCTACCACTTCCTTTTCCCGTATCAGAATTGTTTGCTTTCTTTTGAAAACACACGATAGAGACTATTTGAAAGCGCATGACCCATAAGGAATCACGTGGGGTGCAGGGTGAGGTCAAAGATTTCATATCTATATTTCCCCTCTTCGTCAAGAAAAACTAGCAATTTCTACTGCCAAAATGACATTTACGCTTAAGCTTGACCCCCCCATCAATGACTTTAGGTGACGTTTCCCCTTCTGCTCCCAGTGGAACTACCCATCATCTTGCTTTTTTTTTGGCTTCTCTCTGCCTGCCTTACTGTTTGTGTTGTCTACGGTTCTTTCTTCAACTGTTTTAGAGACGACTTCTTTTCCTGAAGCTGCTGTAAAGGGCGTGATATATAGGCGGCAATGCTCGCCGGGGAATAGGCACCCTGAACCGAACCCCAGACAAGAGATCCAGCTTGCAGGCTTAAGAGACAGTGGTAGGAGGTGTTAGCCAGCGGCGGTATACTGCCGGCAACCAGCTTCAAGTGGAAATTTTATACTGGACTAGGCCTACTTAATCCTTCAGTGGTTCCAGTTACGGGCCGAGAACAGAAGGGTTTGTTTCCAAGATTAGGGTCACCAATCAAGTTAATATCTATTCCATCCTCCCGAAAGACAAGCCTCCTCCGGATCGCTTCAATCTTTTCATTCTGAAAGAGCATTTTTCCTTAATGCACCTTTGAAAAAACTGAATTGTTACGAAATCTTAAAATCATGCCAGGGTACTTCATCCTCAGCTATCAATGTTTGTCTGAAAGACTGAGTCTTACAACTGAATATAATGCAACTTTTATTGTCATGATAATTTATGTTAAAAAGCATCATGAATTCATTACACCATTACACCCTTTTGAACCTCGTCATCTTCTTTGAAATGGCGTCGTAGCTTAAAACAATTGAAAGTTTAAAAACCGTTTCTGGCTCATTATCTTCAACGATGGAAAACTGATCAATCTTCAGTGAACTACTAATGAGAATAAGGATAACCTTGCTGACAAGACAGCTTCCTGCAAAACAAACCAAAAAAACGTACGAATGTATAGCGAACAAGAAAGATCTAAAAGTTGGGCGATATCACTTGGAGTAAATATCCTGAGATATTTCCCAGTTCTAGCTGAGGCATACTTGTTCACGTGATGCGTTTAGACCAACTACCTTTATCACTAAGAGGTCACATAAATTGTCAGCTGTCCGCTAGCAGTTACTACAGCAACCTTTAAGCATTCTTTGAAAACTGCTTATTCTATAAATATTTTCATGATAGACGGTTCTTTATCTCTATTCTTTTCCGGTGGAGGAGAGAATAATATTTTCATCAGCTGTCGTTTAAATCCTCAATTTTTTCCTTTAAACTATCATGACGATGGTCAACTGACCACAAAGGTGGCAGGTGACGCGGGCGCATCGTGTCCAAAAAGTGCTGTCTCCACATTTTCTCAAACTCGAGCAATTTTCCCTCTTCCCGGATCTTTTTCACGACTTCTTGCCCATGAGACACATAATTCGAATTCTCTTTCCGAGTTTCCATTGTTGCAGCTTCTTGAATCATTTCAGGAGTCAAACTGGAGGTCTTAAAATGTTCTTGGACAATGCAAGTGAGTTGTTCATGCCTGGCTGAAGGCAAGTTTTGTCCAGCATAGTTCAAAGCTTTTGCAGCTGATTTCACTTTCTTTAGATCGGGATCTTCCACGAGGCGGGCCACACTGGCATTTCCTGGCATGAAGAAAGACAGAACACAGAGGAGGTGAAGCAATATCAATACATTTTCAGGCAGAAGGGCAATGAAAAAGAATATAAATATTAGCTAAGGATATTGTTTGATTCAGCAGCAAATCTCTACATCAAACATCAAGAGAACTATATGAGAGATAGTGCTGAGAATTTACGTTTTGATATTGGGAGTGAAATGGTTAAGAATCTGATTTTCCTCTGCTTTAGTTCTTACCCAAAGGAGCATTGTACTTCCTTTCCAGCTCTTTCCTCAACTTGTCATCGTGAAACGCGGAAAGACGATGGCATTCAGAGCACATAAGTAACACATCGTGGGAATGATGATCTTTCAAGACTAGTGGAAAGTATCTGCGGTAGTCGTGAGGAACAATATTTTTCCTCAAATAACTCTTATCGCTACCACACACAACACAAATATTGTCTTTAAAATTGAGGTAATAAGAATCCTCTGACCCAGGCCTTCCTGAGGGTTCAAAGTTGAGCTGGACTGTGTATGGGTCAAGGTTTGTCAGCTTGCCTATAGAAAGTCAATGAAAAATCAAAAGTTAAGTTCGACACACATCTGCATGTACCCAGGCGCTCAGTTAAATCTAAGCAAAGCTTTTGCACTAATCATCAACTGTTTACACCCTAACATCAGTATCTATATTCACTATACTCTTATCCATACATTTTCTTTGGTACTGACAAGGAGAATTCACTGAACAATCAAAGTTTCTTAGGTTGATGATCATTTCCTCTATTTTCTTAATGAATATTCAGCAGTATTATTTTAAGGAAATTAAATTATAGTCACTCATAAAGTTTACTGGGTAAAACAAAATTCCACATGCATATGAAATTTGTCTTGTAAAAGGTATGTTGTGGAAAGCAAGTGAAAAATGTTATCCCTTCCAAAGATGGTTTTCATTTGCTTTCCAACTAGCTCTTGTCATCTACATGTGGAAAACTTGGACTCAAGCAAGCACCACAAGAAAAAAGTTGGTTTTACTTACCAATTCCCTTTTCAATATACCAATCAGCCTTCTTGCGATCCAGAGTACACAACCTTGATCCATCAGGGGCAGCCAGCATGCAGTTCATGTAAAGAGGGGATTTTCTAATGGTACCTCTTTTGTAAGGCTTCCTGTTATGCATTTCTGTCATGTTTTCTTGCTTTTTGCTTTTATCCTTGTCTGTGATACTTTCTACATTCTTAAATGATACATCAACAACTCCTTGACAGAGTGAACTAGCTCTTTGACAAAAGACTGAATCTTGTAGAAGAGAAAGGACTTCCTCTTGACGAAGGTATCCTTTGTCATCATCATGTTCTGACTCCAACTTTTTTAGATCTGCTGTAAAGGTTAAAACATCAAGCTCCTCTGTGTCAAAAATAAAACCATTGCTGTATTCTTTAAGCTTCTGATCAACATGATCACACTTTCTAGAATCACAGTATTGCATCTGGGAATAATTTTCTTGATTACCAACCATGCTGATGCTCTCTTCATGCAACACAGATCCAGAATGTGTGCTCAAACTCTTTTTCACATTGACAGGTTCCCCAGCTGGTGTGACTATAGATCTCACCATTTTTCGTGCATCCAGTTTAGATTTTACCAATCTAAGAAAAATATGACTCCCGACCATGGCATCATTCATTGCATACTCAATCTGCCTTCTTTCAAATTCATCTGCCTCCCAGTTGCTACAGCAAATTCTCCAATACTTGTCCATGGTCACACCAAGAACTCTCTTAGCTAAGGCATCCAAGCTCATCTTCTGATTTCTGTCAACAAGAGAGACAAAAGGCATTTACAACAATCTATAACCAGGAACACAGAGGGCAAATAGAGAAAGATGTCTTTTGAAAGAGTGAGGAGAGTTAAACCTTTCCATCTCAACATCAGGATGCATATTCTCCATACTGTTCTCTACACCTATCTTGAGTTGCTGACAAGGAGAATTTGTCAAACAATCAAGAGCTCTTTTAGTTGGTGATCAATTCCTTTAATCTCCTGATACTAATACATGATTCAGAGGTAATATTGTATGGAGAATTAGAGGTCAAAGGTTCAAGGGAGAAATTGGGACTAGGTATTTGTTTACATACCTAGACTGGACAATGTTCCCCTCTCGGCATCTCTGAATCACGTGTCTCAGATCCACACAGCCAGACACATCAATACCACACATCCCTGACAATCTCTTGGCATCGTCCATTATTCCAACGCCGAATTTGAGAATGGTCTTATCTTCTAGAATGTCTCTTACTGATTCAGGCATTTGGCCATCCATTTTACACAAACGAATAAGGAAGCAATCAGACAAGGGTGTTGCAATCTGTAATAATGCAACCGGAGAGTTTTTCTGATGTTTAATATTTACCCACTCGCAATCTATTCCAAGAAAATTCAATTTAAGAGGATACTGTGACCTGTAGGATTGCAAGAGTTTGTCACATGATGCCACATCATCAAGTATGAAACCACGCATAGTCTTCGGTTTCGATTCTTGGTTGGAGGCGGAGTTTTTCGACGGTATTTTGCGATCAAACGTTCTATTTAACTGTTGAGTTGGACCAAGGAGAACAATGCCAAGGAACCATCTTATAAACATAAGGAGTGAAAGACTTACTGTTCCAATAACAGAATATAAGCGTGACGGTCTGACTTCGATTTCTCGGCCTCTATCAGATTTGGGTTCCCCAAGATCAATTTTACGCTTACTAGCGTTAGAAAGAGTCGTAAAGGAAGTGATAGTCGCGTTCCTTACTTTAGATGACTCCATTTGACCGATATAAAGGAAAATTTTAGAATACAAAGCTCGTTTACCGGCTAAAAAGCGCAGAATGTACATATTATGCCATTATCTACTTACCCACATGGCGGCCATAATCGTCACCAGTCTCAACTCACAGTTTACGCGTAGGATCATGGGGCCGAGTCGCGCAACTTTTCGGGCGACCCAAAATCTTCATGAATTTTGCTACAGTATTTATTATTATTATTATTATTATTATTATTATTATTATTACTATCATCATTATTATAATTATTACTATTATCACCATTATTTAGACTATGACAAAAGTTGGCCGAAGAAGGACTCCAGGTGGGGCTGGAATCAAAAGGGAGGAGTAATTATTTCGGGATTCCCAACGGAACCTTACTGGGATTTACCCTGGATTCTTGCAAGAATCTCTGTCGGAATGCTACCGAAATTTCCGTCGGGATCTTTTGTCGCTGGAATGTTACCAAGGTTGCCGCCGGTATCTCACCAGTTTCCCCCCTATCATTTAGCAGAAGGGTTCTTTCCCTACGGTGGGGTGCTGGCCTTTTAGAATCTCTACCCCATCATTGGTCTACTGTGTGGCCAATTATTTTTTTGGTAACACGGTAACAACTTCACAATCGCACATCCCATTTTTAACCCTCATCTTACCAAAATTTTTTTGCCCCAAAATCCTGAAAATTTGCGACACAATTCTTCTAACTATTGAAAATGCAACCTCAACATAGTTAATCCAGTCGTGAAAATACGACCCCATTCAGCTGAACATCCCTATTATCCTATTGCTGGGAATTACCCTTCCCCCGCACTTTCACAAAAGAAGAACTTGGAGACAAGTTGCTTAGGGTATTTGTTCCATTCCCGACTTTTCTCTCCCAACGAACACAACTGGGTTCACCTTTGTAAGGTATCAATAATGCAGTTTAAAAACGACACCCTCGGGTTTTCATGTCTTTCCTTTTCTTTTAATAAGAAATAATACCGACTATGAATGCTAGATTTTCACAAAAGTTCATGTCACGTGCTAAAACTGATATATGTTGACAATTCTAATTACACGTGTATTAATCATCACACACCAATTTTATCCCTGTGTAAGCCATACGTTGACAGGAGAGAGGTGAAAAAATACATCATTAAACAAATTCTCCTATTCATTCAAAAGAATTTAAAGTTTTATCTCATCTTGGTGCTGGTTACGTGATGTCACCGTTATATCATAAATTACCGAGCCCTTGAAATAGAGTTTCATCGCAGAACTGACAATTCAACTCCAGAAACCGAAATTTAATCAAGGGATTCGTCTCAGCACCAAACATTTGAACACCAATTTCAAAACGAACCAATCAAAATCACATAAGAAAAAAGTATATTCAGAGAAAATGTGATAGTCAATGGTTTGATTTGGACACGCTTCTAAGAAAATACTTGTCAAATTTCGTGTTGCATTATAGTTTTGATTTATAAATAGACGTAGAAAGATTTTTCGGCTTCTGAACGAGTAGAAGGTTAAAATACGAGGGATATTTCATTTCTTGACAGTGTTTAAACTGCGAACAAATTTTTACAACCACTAAAACAACTTTCCAGTCAAAGGACACACCCGAAAAAAGATACTACTGGAGCATTTTTCGATTGAATGTCCAAAATCATTAGCCAATGAGAAATCAAAGCAAAAACAAGCTACCTGCTTTAAGCGCGGGTAAAAACGAATGCCCAACTCGCGGTTGTATTTAGTTTTGCATCTGATTGGTTGAGAGGATGGGACGCGAGTTTTCTGGACCCATCACACAGCAAAGCAAAGTAAAACCAAAGCAACCCCAAATTACTTCCGACACTCAACTGAAAATTGCTTTAAGAGAACACCCAAACTTCCAGAGGCTTCCTACTCTCCCTATATTCTTGGTAAAAGTTTGTTCATATTCACGTCCTCTATGGATAATTTGAAAACGATTGTTTTCCTTTTCCCAAATTGTTCTTTATCCAGTTTGCACACTCTCCTCTTCTTTCTTTGACTGATAGTCAAGGATTTCTTTGTACATCAGTTCTGAAAGAAAACAGAAGATACTTTTGTAAACATGGGCAAACGTGTTCTTCAATGTTCTTCATTCCACCCTTAGAATAATCTCCTTGAAAAGAGGTCTGACATCAAATTATGATGTAAAGGAGCTAGGTAAAAGCGAAATTTTTTTCATGTGGCTTGTTTTATATCCATGTCAATCTTCTCCATCTTCAACCATCTTCGTTCCGTTTCTTTATTATTTCCATTTTCGATGTTTTGCCATCCTCCTGAACCGATATTTTTTGGTTTCTCTTGCGAATAGGGTAACTTTGCATGTTTCACAGAATGACTTAAAATATTGAACTTGGTAGTAAAGTGTTTAATACCTCTCCATTTATCGGTTGGCCAGTCCTTGGCTTCAAACGGTACTCCATCAAATGGCTCACATTTTGGCTATCAAGGACAAGAGAGATATGTTCTCCTAGTACATCACTCTCGATGGCTATCCTACTTCCAGATATACCACACTCAACAACGGTAGGTGTCAGAAATATAGATTACTGCCATATTGAGTGCTTTCCACTAAGTTAGGCTTAAATTAGTAATAACAGGGGGCACTATGGAGCATAGCCAATCAGATTACAGGATCAAGTAGCATGTGTTACACAATGCTGAAATGTGATTGGCTGTGTCCCACATTACCCCTTTTATTACCAGTACGAGACCTACACTTCATTGTGTGAAAGGTTTCTTGTTGTTTTGTACTCATGATTGTTTCGTAACCAAATTCAGAAAATACGTACCCAGTTTGAGTCGGTTAGTACCCAAACCATCTTTCGTTTCGTACCAGTCGAAATGCCCTTCGCCCCCGCGCGTAAACAGATGTCGATCGTTGCGTGCGACAAGTAAGTAGGGTCAAGCGAGTAAGATACAGGCAAAATTCTGTTAAGCATACTTGTGACCTTATTAATGATTATTTCCTAAGGCGAGGTAAGTGTGATATCCTTACTAGAACAGTCTATTGTTTACGCTTGACTTTCTTAAAAATAACAGCTAGTGGGTGATTTCTTTCCCTTTGCTATTAATGGTATGAAGTTCGGGAATTCTATGATTTCTAAAAATTGAGTTTTGCTAAGATTAACATAAGTTTGAAATGTAAGTTCACTCAGGATGGAAAATCAATACATATATCTGGTGGAAATATTGTTTGTGTCTACCTTATGACTCCCACACCCCGCAGTTTCGGTTCCAGGCCTTACATTAGGTGGTCGCGTATCAGAAATGGACGCCACGTAAACAAAACTTAGTTTACTTAGTTAGCTGGTGAAATTGCCATTTAAAATAAGGAACTGACACTACTTTTAACTTATTTAACATGGAAAACACACTTTATTAGTATTGGTACGAAAAGACTCAACTAACTGGGTACGAATCGACCGAGCTGGGAACGAAACGACCGTGGGTACGAAACAAATGGTAACCCAGTGAAGCTTGTCTTCTTTTACACCTAGTTGCAAAGTAGATTGCCATCTAGGAGACCACTCCAGCTTTCTGCTTGGTTTATTTGTACCAAGTGGTACACACTCCTAACACCTGATTAGTTGTGTCCCATAGTGCCCGCTAATATTATTACCATTATAAATAAGGGACCTATACTTCCTTGTGTAAAACATGTCTTCGTTCTCACCTGGTTACAAGTGAGGCAGTTTATTGACCATGCCACAGAAACTAAGTATCATCACAAAGGATAAAAGCAAAGAGTACTTACCAAGCATAATTCAAAATTATATTCAAACCCAATACCATTTCCCAAATTACAAAAATTTGCCTTTAGATTATTTTGAGTGTAGCTGAAAACTATTGAACCAAATAATATATCTAACCTAAGAACCAGGTTCAGCTAATATAACAGGGTGATTCAGTATTTATCAACTGAGTTGATAACGTAAATTGATCACCGTAAAGAGTTTCAAAGCTGACGTATCGAGCGTCAGCCCTTCGTCGGAGTGAATGGAGTCGTGTGTGTTTATATGCAGAAAATGGAGCTACGCTATTAGTGGGAAGAGTTGAATAAAAAGCGCTCGTTGATACCGTGGGGACTCAGTTGATAAAACCAAATTTCCCTGTTTTACTTTCCCACCGACGTAGCACCACTTACCTTCTTCATTCAGCTAATATAAGCTATGTGTAACCTTTAACCAAGTTCGATTATTTAAAGTAAACTATCCCAAGGAGCACAGAAAATCTATGACATTTTTTTAAAATTTTTATGTCCACTTGAGAATTACCTCGTCCTCTACATCTGCATAAGTAGCCACGTAAGGATGTTCGAGGGCTTGTTCTGCTGTGATTCTTACCTCTGGATCGAGGTTTAGCATCCGTTCCAATAGATCTAAAGCTGAATAAGGCCAAAAAATATAATGTTTCAGAGCCTGCAGAGTTGTATTATTTTGTGCATTTTCAGGCAAATAAATGCAAAAGAGAGGCGTCGTTTTCGCGCTCCTCCTGCATGTGACTTGTCTTTCACCCTCGCCTCACAATTACCTGTGCTTCCCTTAAAAAGGGAAAAAATATTAAGCCTGTTTTGTAGGTTAGGTGAAAGTTTGATAACAAGCTTTTCTGATTATTCTGGCAGTGATGATGACATCCACAGAAACAGGAGTCCCAAATCAGATAGGATGACACACCCAGTAGACCAAATAACAAAAGGACTCCCAGGGTGCTATCAGGTAAAGAAGAGATGTAGTGGTTTTGCACTGCTTGTCTAGGAGTCCTGTGTCACGTTATAGCACGCCTAAAAATTTGCATCTTGAACAGACGTTGCTATGGTTTCAATTTGAATTTTATGTTAATCAAAACACATGATGACTTCTACAAAAAATGAATGAATTCTGTTTGGAAATGAGTTGAAAGATTTGGTTAAAGATGTGTGGGGTAACCTTGTTTTACTACAGGTGGCAACCTTGTTTTACTACTGAGGACAAACTTGTTTTACTACAGGGGGCAACCTTGTTTTACTACAGGTGGCAACCTTGTTTTACTACTGAGGACAAACTTGTTTTACTACAGGGGGCAACCTTGTTTTACTACAGGTGGCAACCTTGTTTTACTACAGGGGGCAACCTTGTTTTACTACAGGGGACAACCTTGTTTTACTACAGGGGGCAACCTTGTTTTACTACAGGGGGCAACCTTGTTTTATCACAGGGAGCAACCTTGTTTTACTACAGAGGGCAACCTTGTTTTACTACAGGGAGCAACTTTGTTTTACTACAGAGGGCAACCTTGTTTTACTACAAGGGGCAACCTTGTTTTACTACAGGAAGCAACTTTGTTTCACTACAGAGGGCAACCTTGTTTTACTACAGGGGGCAACCTTGTTTTACCACAGGGAGCAACCTTGTTTTACTACAGAGGGCAACCTTGTTTTACTACAGGGAGCAACTTTGTTTTACTACAGAGGGCAACCTTGTTTTACTATACAGGGAGCAACTTTGTTTTACTACAGAGGGCAACCTTGTTTTACTATACAGGAAGCAACTTTGTTTCACTACAGAGGGCAACCTTGTTTTACTACAGGTGGCAACCTTGTTTTACTACAGGGGGCAACCTTGTTTTACTACAGGGGGCAACATTGTTTTACTACAGGGGGCAACCTTGTTTTACTACAGGGGGCAACCTTGTTTTTCTACAGGGGGCAACCTTACTACAAGGGGCAAACTGTTTTACTTTAGGAGGCAACCTTGTTTTACTTCAGGAGGCAACCTTGTTTTACTACAGGGGGCAAACTTGTTTTACTGCAGGGGTAAAACTTGCAAAGGTGTTAGGGGGGAGGGAACTTACGCAGACCTCCATAAACCCTTCAACCTGATTTTGCTTGATCTTCAGTTGACCATGGACATCATACCTATCAAAAGCCATGCCTCCTAAAGGTACCTCATGGTAACATTTAATTTACTTGCAATAAAAGAGTCAATACATACATTTACATACCTTGTGGGTCAGCATAAAGAAAAAACTCTCTAAATGGTCTCTTTTCATATTCTGGCATTGATGCTATGTAACTTCTTGCCTGTAGAACACATAAAATTGTTAAGATCTACTGACTGTTCCAAAAAAAAACCAAATAATTTTGACCCATTGACTGCCAGACTGACTGATTGACTAACTGATTGATGGACTGATTGACTGACTGAGGGGCTGACGGGCTGGCTGACAGACAGAGTGGCTGACTGACAGAGAGCCTGACTGACAGAGTGGCTGACTGACAGAGTGGCTGACAGACAGAGTGGCTGACTGACAGAGTGGCTGACTGACAGAGTGGCTGACTGACAGAGTGGCTGACAGACAGAGTGGCTGACTGACAGAGTGGCTGACTGACAGAGTGGCTGACTGACAGAGTGGCTGACAGACAGAGTGGCTGACTGACAGAGTGGCTGACTGACAGAGTGGCTGACAGACAGAGTGGCTGACAGAGTGGCTGACTGACAGAGTGGCTGACTGACAGAGTGGCTGACTGACAGAGTGACTGACTGACAGAGTGACTGACAGACAGAGTGGCTGACTGACGGAGTGGCTGACTGACGGAGTGGCTGACTGACGGAGTGGCTGACTGACGGAGTGGCTGACTGACGGAGTGGCTGACTGACGGAGTGGCTGACTGACGGAGTGGCTGACTGACGGAGTGGCTGACTGACTGACTTAACTGACTGACTGAACTGACCGACTGACTGATTTACTGGCTGACTGGCTGACTAGTAGATGGACGGATGGATGGGCAGTTGGACTAGCTGACTGACAATAATAATTTAGATCAAATCAACTATACTTACTGAATCACTGCTGATTTTTGCCAGGAAATCTTTACCAGGTTTCCCAACAAGTTTCATAATTCGTGTCAACTGATCAATATTTTTTAACAGTTAAGGCTCAGCAAGTTACTTATGTAACAATACATAAATAATCACTGGTTTGCAAGAAACAAGAAGACAAAGAAAAATTTAGGAGGAACTTGTTCATTAATCTTTTTATTTTCTTTTAAGTACTACCAGTGAAACAAGATCAACTTTTTTACTATATAAAAGTAAAAAGTAATTAAAAGGATATGATCATTCCCAGGAAACAGTGTTTCACCTGTCAGAAGCTCAGCCATGATGCAACCGACAGACCAAATATCCACTGCAAAGGAGGAAAACACCCTTCATTTAAATACTGAAATAAGTCTGAATACCATATTCCCTTGAGTAAGAGCCCACAATCTAATAAGCACCCTCCCCAGAGTAAGCCTTCACCCCAGAAGCCATAATGTCAAACAAGCATCCTTCTTAAATAAGCACTCTACCCCCTCCTCCCTCACTTCCTTCAATAGTATGAATACATGGAAGACCTGTTCCTACTGCCACTTTTATTTATAAAGTGGCACTTTATTTAGCTATATTTGTAACTTTTTAAACTTCAAATATGGTAGAATCAGTACAGGAGAACCGTTTCTTCTCTGTTAAGTCAATTAAAGTCATTTCTATCTCCATATCAGCTTTAAGCCTACATGAACAATGACATAGTTTTTGTTTATCTATTGAATATGGGTTATTTATTTAACGGATATTTTAATTAAACTCGTTTGTCCAAGGATGCGACGATTACTCGCTTTCTATGATCATGGAAAAGATAGAGCCAAAATAAGATACGGTCATTCTGCATTTCAAGAACTGGCGAGTATCGAGCGAACGTAAGATTGATACTTTGAACAGCCCGTAACAGAATGATAAACAAACAGTTGAAAGTTTTCCTTGGAACGTTAAACGGAAAGAATTTTTTTCAACGGATTAAGAAACTGTTTAAACGTTTTTGTTACAGCGTTAAACGGATGCAACTTTTTTTAAACGGATGAGCAAACCGCTTAAACGTTTTACCAAAAGCGTTAAACGGATGCAAGTTTTTTTTAAACGGATGAGCAAACCGCTTAAACGTTTTAGCTAACGCATTAAACGGATGCAAATTTTTTTAAACGGATGAGCAAACCATTTAAACGCTTTCATGAACCGTTTAAACGGATTTAAACGGATAGTAAACGGTTTCACAGTTTAAACGGAAAAGCGTTAGTGTCCGTTTTCCCATGGAGGGTCACATTTACCAAAATAAAGATACAGTTCCTTGAAAGCAAAACTAAATAAGCACTCTCCTTTCAATAGGCACCCCTCCTTTTAGCATAAATTTTAAAAAAGCACCCAGGCACTTGTTTGAGAATACACAGTCTATGAAATAATAGAAGCACAATTTTTCCTCAGGCACTCTAACTCTGGGAAAGCCTTGACATGCAACTTCTCATCACAACATCCGACATCAGTCAAAGTGTGTTACCCTAACCCTGATATTCAACATTTTCTTTTTAGAGAGAGATGTTTTTTCATCTTGTCACGAGCATAGGACAAAGAAAATATTCTGAGCCCTGATGAGGAATTGAACCTCAGATTTTTGGATTCTGTGCTACAATGCTCTACCTCTGAGTCACAGAAACTCTACCGTGAGCGAGATCTATTACGAAGTTCATATGACACCTATGAGGAATTGAACCTCGGATTTTTGGATTCTATGCTCCGATGCTCTACCTCTGAGTCACAGAAACTCTACCGTTAGCGAGGTCTATTATGTAGTTCATATGACATGTATCCTGCATACTGCTAGGATCAGCAATGTTGATAGCCTCGTGCTAAATGTAAATAGAAACTTTGTCCCACACTCGTGATAAGACAAAAAACATCTCTCTATTTCTTTACTGCACTCAAAACTTTCCATCTCTCTTATTCTATTTATATAGAATAACTATTGAAAAATCGAGCAGTTCATCCACCAATCACATCGAGGAAAATTGCAGTCATTATGGTTACTATTAGCAGGGAAAATGTAGTGCTGTTTGAGGGGGAGGTAATTTATCAGAACCAAGCAGACAAGCGATGAGAATGAAGAAAAATATCAATACAGGGATTTTTAGTTGATCCAATGTCAAATTCTCCGAGAACAGTAGGGAGAATTACTGAGATCTTGGAAATGAAAGTGTTAAAAGAGTCATAAAACTACAAGCTGGACACAAACCTGTTTGATCATAATGCATCCAGTTGAGCATGATTTCTGGTGCTCTGTACCACCTTGTTGTTACATAACCTGTCATTTCCTCTGCCACTTTTCTGGCCAAACCAAAGTCAAGAATCTTACAATGGAAAAAAGTTATTAGGGCATGTCTTGACAAGCCTCAAACTGTTTTTATCTCAAAAACCATAGCAAGTCATGCCGTTACTGTAAAGAAATGCACCTCAAAACAAACAGAAAGCTAACTGATCACTCCTGAAGGGGTACAAACACTGAAAAACAACAACAACAACAACAACAAATCTAATTTTGAAAATTATTTCTTGAGCCTTTTTTCTCTCTCATTTGATATTGGAACAGCCTTCAGTGGGTCAAAATTAAAAGCCATATGGTTCTATGTTTTATTTTTTTTTTCTTGCATGTAATTTCCATCCTGTTACAGTATCCTATTGCAAAATTAAATTAAATGATCCCCCTCTTCAAAAAAATAATAATAGGTTGGTTTTATCAACTGAGTTGATAATGCTAATTGGCACTGTGAAGAGTTTCTGAAGCATTAGCCCTTTGTCAGAATGAATGGCAAAGGACTAATACTTGAAAAGTCAGCTCTGGAGACTCTTTGCAGTAGCCAATTTGCATTCTCAACTCAGGTGATAAAATCAAATTATCTTGTTTTTTTCTTTTAGTGTTTGTACCCCTTTAGGAGTGATAATTTAGCTTTCCATTTGCGGAGTGCATTTTTCTTATCAACCCAGCCAATAAAGATCTTGCAATACCTCCCACTGATGCTGCAGCACAATTCCTTTAGAAAGTTACCCCTTTACTCACTAAAAAATACATCCTTTTTGATTTGTAACAAACAATACACCATACATCAAATCACATATCTTTTTGGTTATAAAGTGCAGCATTTTTTCAAAGAAATTTTGCCTGGTCACCCTTGAACTGTCTCAGATTTGGGGTGCATCTTATAGCCAAGTATTTTCATGCAACAAAATTCAAGAATGTCCTATTTTCTAACTTTAACCTAGTATAAAACAAAAGATAAATAAATAAAAAGCTAGGAATATTGGTTATTGACTTTACTCGACTTGGTGGTTCTGAAAAGAACCATTTTATTTATACCACTGCAAGTATGTTTTATTCGTTTCCTTGCCTTCACTATCAGTCTCAAATTTCATTGTTAATAATCTTCTCTGTTGAGGTTGCATCTTATAACCAGGTATTAAGGCTAAATTTTCAGCTTGTCAACTTGAAAGAAACAAGTTCAAAGTTTCAGGGTGCATCTTATAACCAAAAAAATGTGGTAAATAAAAACACCTCTAAGTGGTTTTACCTTGAGTTCACAATCCTCATTAACAGCTATATTACTGGGTTTCAGATCCTACAATCCAATAAAAAATTGTGAGTAAAGAAACATGTACACAATGGACTCATTTGAAGTCATTTCTCTTGTTGTGCAATATAGCTTGGTTTGACACTTAACTGGCTGACATACTATTTAAGTGATCTAAAAAAAACCCACCCTGTGAATAACTCCAGCTGAATGGATGTACTGAAAAGAAAATTAGAACCATTAATGACACCTCATCAGATTTCTCTACACACTTTCAGAAAAAGCTTATTTAAGTTCTGTAGCAACAGGTGAGAGCATATGCCACACCCACCATGAATGGCTTTTTTTTCCCACAAAACAAGCCATGCTTTACATCATCAAATAGGTTTAGGTTTTTCATCATGGTAAATAACACTTTCAAAAGAGAAATGTGATTGTTGTCTCCCAACATGGTCACTTTGGATATGGATTGCAACATTTTGACTACATACTGCTAGTCTGCTTCAGACAATGAGGTTTATTGAAGCATAACCACCATAAACTATATCTCAATGGAAAGGTTATGAAATGAAATGCACAATTTCTCTCTCTCTCTCTCTCTCTCTCTCTCTCTCTCTCTCTCTCTCTCTATACAAATCAGGGAAATTATTTTTTGCACTTAGTTGTCCATACCTTAAGCCCTCTCAGTATCTGATAAACAAAAAACTGAACATGTTCATCAGTGAGTTTCTGACGCTTAAGAAAGCTGTCCAGATCAAATCCCATCAGAGCAGTTACCATATATCTGTTGGTTAGAAGGAAAACTGGGAAAGTTAATATGAAATCTAGAAAAGCCTGTCTCAGGTGGTTTAAAAATTCCAAAGACCATCATAAACAAATGTCTTTTTACATGACAATAACTAATTTTGGTGTCCTTGAACCCCTTCACTCCTAGGAGTGGCCAGAAATAAATTTGCCCTACCTCTTTCACTCCAAAGATCTGATTGTTAATCCTCCCCTAATATATAATTGCTCCTCACTTCCTTGTTAATTAGTGTCAATAATTTAGTGCTAAATCAAGATAACAACTCCTAACTGCCTGATGAGGTTGAGTTTTCTCATTACCTCTCTGCTGGGTAATGAGAGTTACATGTTAATCACTTCAGAGGGTTAACCCTTAACACCCTAACATCAGAATCCATATTCTCCATACTCTACATGTTGTTTTTGGTACTGACAAATAGAATTCAATTGAAGATCAAAGCTTCTTAAGTTGGAAAGCATTACTTTTATTCTTGTGATCTTAGTGAATAATTCAGCAGTGTTACTGTAAGGAGAAATTAGTTGCTGGTCACTCTTAGGGTTTAACCCTTTAACTCCCATAAGTGATTAACTTGTAACTTCTCCCTATAATATCCATACATTATCCAGTAAACAGGTAATGAGAATACTCAGACTTATCAAATAGAAGTTTTTAACTGGATCTAACACCAAATTCTTGTAACCATTCAACAAGGGATTGTGTAGCAGCCAGAGAGAAGAATTAAGAATCAGATCTTGGGAGTTAAAGGGTCAGAGAGTGAATGTTAAGGCAATGAACTTTACGTAAGATGATAAGAAGAAAGAAGAGTTTGATTAACCCTTTAACTCTCAAGATCCCATTACTCAAATAATTAGTAATTCCCCATACTGTCTGCCATACAGTTCCTGTGATGTTAGTTTGGAAAATTTGGTATTGGTTCAACTTATACTGTAATTTCCGGCCGATTATCTGTGGATAATCTGTTAAATTTTCCACAAACAGTCGTTGGTGCGTGTTGTAGGAAGGTGCGGGTTATACGATAATTTTCAAGCTTCTGATATGGTTTTAAAACTATAAGCAGGAAAAAAACAGAAATGATAAAATCCACTAAAGATACTCTTCAAAAAACATGTGTAATAATTCATTTATTTTGCACAGATTGCTCATTATTATAAGAGACTTAAATGCTCTTGATGAAAGCCAATGCAAATTTAAAACCTACCTACAAAACTCTATAATAAAGCTTTTATCTTATTTGTACTCTTACTTTCTTATCTTGTCAATTTCACAGCATGTTTCTTTGTTAAGTTCAAAAATCAATTCTCAATTACACGGGAAGTGAACTTGAAAATAAAAGAATTTAATTGTGGAAAAGCTGGCTTCAGAGCAATTCACACAGAAAATGATGCTGACATGTTTGTTTTGTGGCACTGCATAATTAATGGTGCAACAGAATATTTGACGCATCCGTGAAATTTTCTTAGCTAGCATTGCCTTGAGTCTAAGAGTATTTTCCCATTTCAAGTGATTTCTCCAACTCAGTAGATCTCAAGATATTGATTTTTTTGTTGAGAACAGATTTTTACAAGTGGTATCATTCTCAAGGAAACAGCAAAGACAAAAGGTGTGAAAATTTACTAACTGCACGCTAAAGATTTCATGTTGACAAAAACAATGAAGGAACTTTGTGTGAGTTGCTGATTTTCTTTTGTTTTTGGGTGCAGATTATCGGCCAGTGCAGGTAATCTGTTAAAATTTTTTCTTGTTATTGCAAAAATGACTGATGTGGGTAGTCCGCCATGCTGGTAAATGGACAGAAATTACAGTAATCCCCTAACTGATATTTTTTCTTCATTCTCATCACCTGTCTGCTTGATATTGTTCTGATAATATAACGAGAAATTCTGTCTTGGTCATTTGTGGGGGTTAAAGGGTTTATCACCCCATTCACAGACTGAGGTAAAATTATTAAAAAATGTATAGCAGACAAGGGAGTTGTCTCAATTATAGAGAACATATTCCATAAATTAAAAACATGCCTGGGTAATGGTCAAATAATTTTCAAGTCATAAAATAGGTTATGGTAACTCATTGAGGAAAATTTTTAGAGAAATAAAATTGTTTGTCTCACAATGTGGTCACTTCAGATGTGGATTGTGACATTTTGATTGTATACTACTGCTGGTCTTATTGACAGGTGATTTTTAGTGTGAAGAAGACTAGCAGAATCCAGTCCAAATGTTGCAATCCACATCCGAAGTGACCACATTGTGAGACAAACAATTATGTTTCTCTTTTGAATTAATAATGTTTCACTTACACATCTTGAAAACTTTCAAATGAAATATTTGGAGTAAAGACATCAAGCAAACCAATAACCTTAGGAGAAAAAAAAAACAGCAACTAAGTTAAAATGTTGAAAGACATAGACTACAATCTGTTTTATAAAATATTGGTGTCACCCTGTGGTATTGTTGTAAAAATAATGATTCTAGTGCATGAGTGAAAACGAAAAAGGAAAAAATTCATTTCAAAAAATGAGAAAATTGATAACAAAATGTTAGTTTGCACTGAACACTAACATTATGATTACATAAAATAACTCAAATTTTGACTTGCAAATATTCTTTTTTCACAAAATCATTTTCATTGCAGCTCATCTGCATGAATTATGTCTTTAGATGCATATCATTCATAGGTCAAAATATAATTTTTTTCATGTAATTGTGATCAGTTTCCATTAGAAGAATGAACAACCCCCAAAAATTTGCCTTGGCACCAACATGTGGCTTCTTAGCTCAGTCTGCAGGGGCACCTAACTTAACCCTTTAACTCCCATGAGTGACCAACACAGAATTTCTCCTTACAATATCAATACAATATTAAGTGGGCAAGTGATGAGAATAAAGAAAAATATCAGTTAGGGGATTGCAAGTTGATCCAATACCAAATTCTCCAAACTAACATTACAAGAACTGTATGGTGAACAGTTAGGAGAATTATTGAGATCTTGGGAGTTAAAGGGTTAAGTCTCCGAGAAGCATAAAATTGTCAGGCTTCTTTTAAATTACGGAATTTTTTTTGATCGAAACAAAATTCTCCAAACCAACATCATAACAACTGTATGGCAGACAGTAAGGAGAATTACTAATGAGATCTTGGGAGTAAAAGGGTTTATAGCAGTTGACCTGGGAGGATTATTTTCAAACATATTTCAATCATAGTGACATAAGTTCTACACAATAAACCTACATTTTCATGATTCATATGACGAAGAAGTTTCAGTTCCCTGAAGGATCTCTTTGCATGCATTGTGGTTTTAAAAGGTCTTGAGAGTTTCTTGATTGCCACTTGTTTACCATTAGAGGTGTTTGTAGCTGAGCTGCAGGAACACAATTAAACATCATTAACAATTAATTTACAAACTGATTGATCATTTGCATTTAAATTAAATGTACTGTTCAATTTTTAACTCTCCATTGGTTATAAGGTATAACCTAGCTTTAAAATGGAATTCACAACAGATATTTCCCCATATAACTAAGATTAGAAGCCAGCCTACATGACAATTTTGCTCTAAACAGTGTTTTGGTAGGTTAAGGCAAGAGTTGAAAGAAAGATTTCTGCACAACGTCATACTATTCAAAGTAAAGCATTAGTTTTGAAGTTTATCCATTGTTTTTGTTTTTGTTTTCTGTTAGCAAATATTAGTATCCATGATAAAGCATGGGGTAATGTGGAAACTTTGCCGCACTGAACATTGAGAAAAGTAAGCATATTTACATTACGTGATGAATCACACAAACAGCACTGAGTATGTTTGTAGGGGAATATACATAATGGCATAATATGTGACTAACACAGTCCATAGACTGTACAATTTTACACCACTATCTGCATAGGTTGATTAATCATAATAATTTATATATCATTGGTGAAAAATTTACATCATATATATCTCTGACTGGAAGAAATTACGCCGTAAGTTACTGGTGTAAAATCTTACAGTATATACATAACCAGCTGGAAGAAATTACACCATAAGTTACTAGCATAAAATCTTACAGTAAATACATTACCAACTGGAAGAAATTACGCCATTAGTTACTGGTGTAAAATCTTTCAGTATATACATTACCAACTGGAAGAAATTATGCCATAAGTTACTGGCATAAAATCTTACAGTATATACATTACCAATTGGAAGAAATTACACCATTTGTTACTGGTGTAAAATCTTAAATATCATATTTTATCGGCTATAAGCCAAGCTGGTAACTTTTAACTCTTAAACTTAAGACAATTGTCTTCACACACAAACACCAAACATCCAACAATAAATCGAGACCCATTTTTTAAAACATATAAGAGCTCATGAAAAATTTTAATCACATTTAGCTTTTAAAATATGTTGAAATGAAAGAACAGGTTAATCATCCAACGGCACAGGCAATTCGCTTGAAAAGCAACATGAAATCCTTCAGCACAGAGAAGAGATTTAAGCTTCACAGTCATGTTGGCGCTCACTGCTGATGGCAAAAAGTTACCACCAAAAGTTACCCTCAGAGGCGTACAAAGCCCGAGAGACTTTCTTGTTCCAGACTCAATTTGTGTTTCATTCCACAAAAAAGGATGGATGGATGAAGCTAGTAAGTGTTGTTCATTTGCTCTTTTGTTTACTTGTGTTTGAAAGGCATATGCCTTATTGATGTCTTTAAGTGAGGTCTAATCAATTGTTGTATTTTTTTCTTTGATTATAGGTGTGAAGGAGTGGATTCATACCTGCATGCCAAGAAACCCTAACTGTTGAGCGATCATTGTTGGTTTGGGACTCCTTTCGTGCCCATCTTACCGAGTCAGTTAAAGAAGTATTGCAGCAGCAAAATATCGATGTAGCTGTTATTCCCAGTGGCCTAACCCCAGTTCTGCAGTCATTAGACAAGTGCCTAAACAAGCCCTTCAAAGAGAGTATAAGAAGAGAGTACCAGTCACAGATGATAATGGGCCCCTTTGAGTTTACTCCTGCTGGGAAAAAGAGAGTGCTGTCAAGCAACCTTGTTCTAGGTTGGATAAAGAAGTCTTGGTGGGAGATCCCAGAGGAGATGGTGAGGAAATCATTTCTTACTAGCAGCATCTCCAATGCACTTGATAGCACTGAGGATAATGCCATCTATGAAGAAGAGCCAGATATTCACACTAAAGAAAATGAGATGGATGAAGACTTTGATACAGAAAGTGAAGATGAGCCATAAGCTGACATCCTTGATCAAAAAAAAACCAAACAGCTTCTTTAGGAACCACCACATATTAAAAGTTAATGACCAATAACTCTTGCTTTTTTTTCTTCGTCTCACTCATCTTTTATGTGAGTATATGTGCATTAATCTTAGAAAATGTTGAAACGTTATGTGGCTGGAGATGTGATCTAACACATTTTGGGTGCAACTAAGACAAGAAAAGAAGTGTCATTTTTGGTCAGTTTTTGTCCCGTTTTTATGCAGATTTGGCAGTTTTACTAATACTGAGTTACAGTAATTACAAAGTTTGTAGTGCAACAATTGTATAATAATGATTACTTGTAATATAAAACATTTTTCCTTTTAATTTCTTTCAATAGCTCAAAACATATTTACAGCTCAATATGCACTTTGTACAAGTAAAGAAATATGTAGGATTAAATTATGGAATACTAATCATCCTCCACATCAAAGTCAAAGTCATTTCAAAATGGCTACCGTGTTTACTGTTTAGCGACCTTTAGCAACTAGCAGTGAAATGCGACCACCTTATCTTTATGATAAAACAGATTTGTTTTACAATAGCATGGAGCTGTGCGGAAATTTTACCGAATGTTGGCTTCTGAAACTATTAGAGTCTTCATTGACTTGGGAATCACCTCGGGATGAAGTTGTCTTAAACAAACCAGCAAATTTAACATCGCGCGATTGAACAGCTGATCGGTCGACAATAAAGGATGATGTATGTAAATATAAACTTACCGATTTCTGTACACTCTCTCGAAACAAAGAAGCTTGTTATTTTTTCTCTAGCCTTCTCTCCATCATTTTGATTTTCCACTGATTTCCGCTTTGATATTCTTGATTGCAGAGAACTTTCTCACTGGGTACGCTATAAGTTGCTCGCACCACGTGCTCTTCAAGAGACGAACTCGCACGATGGAATTTACGAAATACGCTGAGAAAATCGGAACAGAATCGCGCCAGAGTTGTAGTCTACGTTGACAGCTTTCAGCCAATGCACTTTTAAAAATGCTACTCTATGTCTTTGAGTAACTTCACGTACATTTTACGTTCTTATCTGTCATGTTCGCTTACTGTTTTCTAAGCGCAAATTCAAGCTACGCTCGACATTCTCTTACCAAAAGAAAGAATCATTTTCTGAAGTTTTATCTGACCAAAGTAGCCGGCGCTTGAGACGCGAGTAGCCGGCGAAAACGCCGACCGCTAGCGCTTCTGGAGAGCACTGGACTAAAGATATCCGTCTATTGGCTGAGTAAAACTGATGAACCACGCCGTTTTTAAACGCCATCTAATGAACAGTTGCTCTATCTAAGTACAACACTTGAGGTCACACCTTTGGCATAAGATAACATAGGTTGTGTTTTCACTAAACCACTTTTCTAGCTGAACATTCTTTCTAGGTGTTTGCTTACAGACCGAAATTTACTAGTTAAACTTGACATCTGTTTTCACTGTGAAATTTAACCCGAAATTTAAGCCGTTTACTCAGAAGATTCAAAATTACAATAGCGCGCAGCTTTGAAAAAATGGCGGGAGACGAAGCATTTTTGATGACATCTCTTGTATATTGATTCTCGCCATATTTCCCCGAAGGAGATGGCGTTTCTTTCAGAGGATACGACTAATGTCTCGACAAATGGAGAGGATGCGACGGATTGTTGGAAAGAGAAACTATTACGAGTGAATTCGTCTGTCATTTCGTAAGCACTGTTTACAAAGTTGGCAAGCATCTGTCGGTACGGGCAATGTGATTGGCTGCGGCATTTATCAGGACGAGTTATACCATCTCGCGAGGTAGCATAATTTTGCGGGAATTTCCGGTCATAAAAGCGAGATAATCCCTTGTTTTTTTTATGTCAAAACAGCTTGCATTTTTAACTCGCTAAACTCAAGACGAGCTGTTTTCACTGTACTTCCAGACTTTTCCGACTTCAACGAGTCAAACTTGTTCTAGTGAAAACACAACCGTAATGACTGAAATTGCTATACAGGCGTTACGCTCTCCTGGGAAATAGTGCGAGGCACGTATGGTGGCTAATGTCATCGAGGAAAGTGACGTGAGTCCACCGCCAAAATCTACACTTAATAGTAGGTTTAAACGATGCAATTTCATCGCTTGCTACAAAATATGTAACTAAAATTTTGGAATACTCTCTTTCATACTTAAGAAGGTTCGGATGTCTAATAAGTCAGTGCTTCAAAGGTAAGACCTTCACAGGTATATCCTGGCAAAATCTACACTTACTAGTAGGTTTAAACGATGCAATTTCATCGCTTGCTACAAAATATGTAACTAAAATTTTGGAATACTCTCTTTCATACTTAAGAAGGTTCGGGTGTCTAATAAGTCAGCGCTTCAAAGGTAAGACCTTCACAGGTATAACCTGGCAACAGGCAACAACGAGTCCACTTGGTTTGTGGATGATACATCCTGCATAATTGGTTGTATTGGATCAAATCTTTTGGTCTGCTAGAGATTGTGATAGTCACATATTACGCAGTTATCTAATTACTATGTTTGTAGTTGTCGAACGCACCTGGTCCTTTTTTCACGAAGGATTCAAACATCGATGAAGCCTCTCGGTTTGAAAACGCCATCATCCCAAAATTCCCAAAATCAGTCATCAAACTACTGGCAGACAACCCTGTGGGTTTGAGGCCGCGTGACGTCACTTATTTAATACGCCCATTGAACTCTTAAATCGTTTGTAATTTGCGAAGGTCGATCTCGGCAAGACGCAATTGATCCCGAGAAACATTTCATCCCCAAAATCCGCTTAATGACAGTCAGTTAAATAAAGTTCACTTACCTTTGTTTTTCTGTGATCAATTGCGTCTTGCCGAGATCGACCGTTGCAAATTACAAACAATGTAAGAGCTCAACTCGCGTATCAAGTAACTGACGTCACGTGGCCTCAAACCCACAGGGTTGTCTGCCTGTGATTAAACCACAGTACAAGCCTCAAATCAAAGATTTTATGTACGATCGAAGCAAAATCCTATCTGCATTTTAACACTCTGTACTCACCAAACTTGTCCATACGCACCAGTTCCAATTGGACTCAGGTCTTGATACTTCTCAGGAACTTCCCAAACGGTTTTATTTAACTCCGTTCT